GGGACCCAGACGGTCGACCCAAGAACGGTCGGCACAGCGGCGTTCCGGGCAGCGATCAGAGGGAGTCGAGGCCTCTCGATCCTTTCCACCCGCCCCACCCTGGCTATCTAGCCGAATTCTACTCTACTTCGAGAGACAAAGGAAGACGCATAATGCTTGATCCACTTCTGAGTCTCGCCTCTGAACTGCATCTCTGCAAAGGATGGCGGCGCCGTCTTCGATATATATATATATATATATATATATATATATATATATATATATATATATGTATTGGCAATCCTGATGGAGCTCCATCGCCCGCGCAACATGACGCGCTCAAGATTCTTTGACGATAGATACTCGTGCGTGGCCCCACCCCGACGGAGGCTGTGCGGAGTGGGGCGTGCGTGGCGGCAGCCTACACCGGCAGCAGCTCGCTTGAAAGCGGCGTGAAAGGCTGGGGGCGTACCGCTCCAAAGTTTGCCGGCAGGGTCCAGCGACAGTGCGCGATGCAACCGGGCCCCTATGCAGGGATCGTCGACGGTGACGGTCTCCCGGGCGCCTTTCTGGGCAGCAGTATTGGTCCAGGGGGGACTCACGACCCCCCGGCCCTGGGGGCCGATCTGGACCAGGGCCCGGTTCAAACGCAAGATTTCAACTGTTCTCAGGCACAGGTGGAAGCCTCCGAGAATGCAGGCGGCCAGGGCGAACTCATTGCGCTCGGGCGCCCAGCCGGCCATTGCGGCTGCGACGCGAGCAAGCATCGGAGGCGCTCGGCTTGGCACCTCGAGGCGTGACCACACCGAGAGAAGGCGCCATGCCCCGGGATATTGGTGGCGCGAGCGCCGAAAATGTTGCACTCCAGACAAAGTGTCGTTCGCCTGCCCCTTCGAGGCTCCGGTGCTCCAGAGATGCTCAAGATAATCCTGAAGGCAGAGATCCATTTCGTCCCACGTGACTGGCAAAGAGAGATGCGTAGCACTCAAAAGCTCGACAAACTGCTGGCGCGCGCGCTGAGATTTGTTGCGTGTTCTAGTATTCGCACGCGCGTCGGCCAGACGGCCAAGAGCAGCTCGGGTAGCACGCCTCTCATCTGGCGAAGTGCGCCTACCCATTGGGCAAGCGGGACGGCGCATCCGCAGGGTTCTTTGCCGATGAGGTGAAGGCAAAGACCGCCCGCGACCCGAGCGCCAGCTCCGGGATGGAGAAGGCGCGCGCTACCTTGTAGAGCTGCTGGCTCGAAGACCGGCGCTTGGCAAGGGCGCCGATATCCACCGTGCTGTCGAGCAGGTGCAGGAAGACGCACATCTGTCGTGAGACCGACCGGGCCCGCCAACGCCGGGCCATCAGCGCCGCCTCGCACTCCAACATATTGATGTGCTTGGCCTGGTCTTGCCAAACGAGCTGGCGAGCGACCTTCCACTTCCAAATGCCAGCGTCGATCTCTGGCCGCGGGGACATCTTGCCATGCGTCTCTGCGTCCGTGTCCACCCGAAGGTCAGCGCCCGAGTGGTGGCACGTCATCACCAGCGAGGCCACCACCGATCTGGTGCTCCAGGAAGGGCCGGGAGCACCCCTTGCCGCGCTGCTCCAGCTCCGCCAGCAGGACGTCCGCGTGGCAGGGCTGCTCCGAGGGACAGTGGCAGAGCAGCCGAGCTCCCTCCAGTTCCCCCAGCTGGTCCAGGAGCTCGGGCTGGGAGCGCAGCCAGCCCGCGAACAGCGCCACGGCGTCGCCGGCCGGCCGCCCCGGCACCACGGGGTACGGGTTCCCCCACTTGGAGGGGCCGGGCCCCCAGCGGCGCGAACCGCGGCCGACGTAGATGGCGCGCACCTCCGGCCCAGCGCCCGCCGCGGGCGCGCGCCCAGCCTCCTCCAGCAGGTGCAGGTTGTCCTCGCACACGGCCTCGCGCCCGCACCGCAGCGTGTCCACGGCCTCGCCTGAAGCCCATCAGCACCTCGCGCTCCACTGCCCGCGGCGGCTCCTTCCGCCCATCCGCCCAATGCAGGCAGAAGCAGTCCCGAAACTGATAGGGCGGGGCTGCGTAGCCCGCTGCCGTCCAGCGCGCCACCTCCTTCGGCGTGCACCGGCGAAGCCCGGCTGGCCGCGGCCGAGGCGAGCTCCGCGGCGTCCAGCGTGCGAAGGTTGACAGGCGGCCACCTTCAGCGGCCCCAGGCCAGGAGGCCCCGCGCGGCAGCCACTCCGAGACGGGCGGCAGCTCCGTCACCAGCCGCACTCGGCAGGCCCGCGGCTGGGCCCCATCCGCCGCCGCCGTCATCTCGGCCGTCATCTCGAAGGAGGGCAGCAGGTCCCACGACGGCCACTGCAGCCGCGGGCGGCGGACCCGGCCCAGGTCCGCGGCGTCGAGGGACACCGGCACTCGGCCGAACATCTTGTTCAAGGCCAGGACCTCGTCCTCCGCCGTGGACGCCGGGTTCTCCCCGAGGAAGTCCACCGTGGCCTCGGGCAGCCCGCGCTTCAGCCCCTCGATGAGCCTCCACATGTGGCCCACCAGCTGCGACCTCGAGTCCGCGCTCCCTTCGCGGGCCACGTTCAAGACCATATAGCCCTGGCAAGGGACCCCCCCAATCACGATCACCTTCGCGATGCGGCCGTGGTCCCTCAGGAGGCGCGCCAGATGCGCCGGGTCCGCGGCCGTGACGTCCCCCAGGTGCACCGTGCTGGGGGGCGCCCGCCGAGCCACGCGCGCGGCCTCGGCGTCCACCTCGAACGATTGGTGCGCCGCCGGGGCGCGCCCCAGGATCTCGAAGGTCCGGCGCGCCCCGTCGATCCCCGAGAAGACGGAGATCAGCGCGACGGCCTCCTCGCAGGCCGGGTCGAGGGCCCGCGGGCCCCTGGCGCCAAGGGCGCGGCCCATGTCCGACAGCCCCTGGGAATAGACGATCGCCCCCGCGGCCTCCGAGGCGTCGGACGCCGTCGCGAGGTGGTCGACGGTCAGCCGCATGCCCGCCACGCTGAGCGGCGCAAGCGCGGCTGCGATCAACAGGTCCTCGGCGACGCCCACGGTGATGGGCCCGCCCGAGCGGCCCGACGCCAGCCACTTCCAGGCGTTCACGAAGGCGGCGGCGAGCGGCCTCCGGTAGCACTGCACGCGGACCCAGCGCCCCAGCAGGATCTGCGCCAGCCGCCTGCTTGGGCGCCCCTGCGCCCGGAACCGCCGCGTCAGGCTCGTGAGCTCCGTGGCGTGCCCCAGCGGCGGCCGGCGCACCCCAGCCTCGCCATCCACGAGGTCCTCCAAAGTGGAGACCTGCTGGGCGCGGAGGACATCCTTGCCCGGCGATCCGGGAGACTTAGCCTCCTCGTAGCAGGCCGACGCCCGGCTCAGCAGCTCGGGGATGGTGCCCTTCGGCGTCGCGGCCTCCCTCGAGACGATCTCCGCGATCTCGGTTGTCGATGTAGATGAACCACACCGCGACTCCGCTTGCCTGGGCCTCCGCGGGCAGGCGGCGGGCGCGCGCCACCTCGGCCGCAGGCGGCAGCCCGCGGGGGACCGAAGCCGACCGCCTCAGCATGTTGCGGTGGAGGTGCGCCGCCACCCCGACCGCGCTGACCCAGCCCATGCCGACGACCCTCAGCGCGATGCGAGTCAGCCCGTCGCCGCTGCCGCCCACCAGTCGCCGCGGCACTGGAGGCCCCAGCGCCGTGTAGGGCCGCCGGGCGGGGGGCGCCCGGAAGACGTAGAAGAACGCCTTGCGGCCCGCCCCGCTCCAGAGCAGCTGCTCCCCTGGCGCCAGCGCCGGCCCGTTCAGCTGCCCCGTCGTCGGCGTGACGGGGGTGTCCCCCGCGATGGTGCGCTGGCACGCGTTCGCGGGGATCATGTTGACGATGGGCCGCAGGGCGGGCCGCTCCTCGCCGTGGCTGCAGCGGACCGGCGCGTCGTGCACCTTCGCCGCGCCGAAGGTGCCGTTGATCAAGGGGCCCCCGTTTCGGTCGCGATCTCGGCCTCGTGGATGGGGCCGACCATCCCGCGAGCAAACAGGGCGCTCACCACCAGCTCCCACTCCTGCGACGACGCCCAGACGCGCGTCGAGGTCGGCGCGGGGCGCCTATGCGCCGGCGTAGGAGGGCCAGGGAGGGGTCCAGCAGCGCCGCCCGCACGAAGCCCGTGGCGAGATCCGCGGCCTCGATGGAGGCGGCCGCCCCCGCAGGCGGCAGGCCGCCCTCGATCTGCTCGAGCGTAATCCTGCTCGGTGTGGAGACCTCCGAAACATCGTGGGCGATGGCCTGGTCCTTCAGCTTCTCGGACCAGTCGAGGGCCCCGGCCATGACGGGCTCGGGCGCGACGCTCGAGTAGACGCGCCGCGCGATCCCAAGGAGAGCCGAGCGCTGGGCCGCATTCGGCTCCGGCCCGCAGACGTCGGCCCACTTCAGGTGGCGGTAGCCGGCCTCCCAGTTCATCGCCATCACGATCACCCTCAAGCGAGACTGCAGCGAGGTCAGGTCGCCCGGGTCAATCTTCTCCTCCACGGTGAAGTCCGAAGCTTCGAAGCTTCGGGCAGGGTAGCGGGAGCAGATCACGCTGCAGCCGCCCCCGTCTAGTTGGCCGATGCCCGCTGTGCGTGAACTTGTCCACGTAGACCCCTGGCGACCCTGGGAACTCTCGCATCAGCTCCTCGAGGATCGGGCCCGCGTCCAGCGGGCGGCGGAAAGACTCGGCAGCAGCCCCAGCCTTCTCCTGCCACGTGCGGAAGAGGGGGCGTCCGCGTCTGGCCAAGCCGCCTCCGCGCGCGCCGCCTCCCGGCCTGCTGCTAGCGAATCAGCTGGCGGCCCCGGGTCGCCCATGCAGTCAGCACGAGCTCCAGCTGGGCCCAGAGGGCCCGCCTCCTCACGTGCATCATCAGCAAAGCGCGCCCGCGCCTCCAGTGCTAGCGGCCCTTGCAGCGGCCCTTCCAGGGCGCCGGCCGCCCGCGGCCCGGCAGTCCCCCTGTCGGCGCCCGACGCCCGCGGCGCTTGCCCGTGCCCTTCGGGCTCCCGCCCCGCGCCTGGGGGGCTCCCCCGCCCACCTGCGCTGCCGGCTGGTCTTGCCGAAAGGCGCGGACTTCGGGGGCGTCCAGCAGCTCCACGCGGCCCGGCGCCGCCGCGGCCCCAGGGGCTGTCCCCGCGGGGCGTCCTCGGCGGGAGCGGCGAGCGGGGGCGCTCCCCGGCGTCGGAGGGCGCTCGGGCGTGGGGCCCCGAGGCCTCGCGAGCGGCTGCGGGGCCCTCCGGCCCGCTGGCAGCCTGGCCCGCGGCCGCCGCGGCTCCGCCAGGGCGGGCTCCGCCTCGCCTCATCGCGAAGAAGCCCCGGCCGCGGCGAGCGGGATCGCTCCCGCGCCCTCGGCCCCGCCCCGGAGAGGGCGCTCGAGGCGGCTCCGCAGCCGCCGCCTCCTCGGGTCAGCCGCGGGGGGCTGCCCCCCTGGCGCGGACCTCCTCCAGCCGCCGCCGCAGTGTCGCCGACCCCCGCGCCGACTCCTGCTCGTCGCGGGAGGCGAGCGTCGGGCGGATGCCCTCGACCACCCCCAGCTCGTTGGCGATGTGCCAGTTGCCGTCGTTGAGCGCCATCTCCAGCGCCTTGAACCGCTGCATCAGCGTGTCCGCGACTGACGCCAGCGAGCCATCCTCGAGCAGGTCCAGCGCTGCGGCCAACGTCTGGAGCTCGCGCACCGTCCGCTCCCCGACCGAGTGGATCGGGTGGTGGCCGAAGACCGCCGCCTGGAGGTAGCCCCTGATGCGAGGGCGTGCTCTCTGCCCGTCCGCCCCCTCCCGCAGGCCCATGACGCGCGCGATCTGGGCAATCGCTTCGTCGTGCAGCGTGCCTGGGCGCCCGTCGGCCACCGCCTGAATGGCGTTGCCGCGGGAAGGGGCGTCGCGAAAATCCAGCTGGTCGCCAGCGGCCCGCTCCCCGCCCTCGCTTCGCGACTGCTCGCGACGGCGACGGCGAGGCACTAGCGGGCGAGCTGCGGGCGAGCTGCAAGGCCGGGCGCGCCGCCGCGCGCCCAGCCGCGGCCCCGGCGAGGCGGCCCGCGCGGGCGCAGGGGCGGCGCCGCCCCCTGGCCCGCCGCCGCCTGGCGGTCGGAAGGTCGGCCGAACCCGCGGCTCGACCAAGCTCCGTGCCGACCGCAGGCGCAGCCAGTCGGCGTGCCGCTCGCCGCGCCCGACTAGCCGGGTGGCCCTGCAGGGCGCGGCGCCCCTGGCTGCCTGGCGCCCGGAGCGGGGAGGCCCAGGTCCAGCTCCAGGGCGTGGGCCGGCAGCGAGGCGTTGACGGAGAAGTAAACCCCGTCTGGGCCCGGCGCCCCCGCCCCCACGACCTCGCTGTGCCGTCTACCTGGCCCGCCGGGTCGTGCGCGGGCGTCTCCAGCACCATCCCGGCCGTGAAGGCGCCGTGCTGCAGGGCCGGCGAGCCCATCCAGGGGCCGCCCGCCAGCCGCGCCAGCGCCACCGCGCCGCCTCCGGCGGGCGCCGGCCCCGCAGCGGCCGCCATGCCGCCGCCTCCACCGCCGGCAGCGGCCGCCCCTGGCAGCGCGAGAGGCCCGGGCGCCGGCGGCGCGCCAGGGGGCGGCCTCACGCCTGGAGCAGGCAGCGCCGCCAGGGCGCCCACGAGGGCAGCGCCGACCCCAGCCGCGGCGCCAGGCGGGGCCCTAGGCGCGTCGCCACCAGGCGCGGCGGCCGGCGGGCCTGGCAGCGCTCCAGCCGCGACCCCCAGCGGGGGGGCCCCCGGCAGCAGCGCATCGCCCCCGCCGCCAGGGGGTGCGGCAGCGCCGAGGGGGGGTAGCGCAGCAGGCCCCGCGCCGGGGCCACCTGCTGCAACTCCCGCGCCCCCTTGGGCGTGGCCTCGGCCCCGGCCTGCCGCCGCGGCACCTCTGCCGCCGCCGCGTCCGCGTCCGCGGGCGCGCCCCCCGCCTCGCGCGACGCCGAGGCCCCGGGCTGCCGCCTTGGCCTTGCCCTTCGCCTTGGCCTCAGCCTTGGGCGGCATCCCGGGCCACCTCGTCCGCCAGCCCAGCCAGCGTCGCCAGACGCGCCGTCAGGTGGCGCGCCTGCTCCAGCAGCACCGCCCGCTCGCCCGGCGTCAGCAGGGCCCGCCAGGCGTGCTGCCGTGCCAGCGCCAGGAGGTAGCACAGCTCGCGCACCTCCCAGAGCTGCCCGTTCAGGGCGAGCGCCAGGGACTCGTTGGGCCCCAGCCGCCCAGAGCACCACCCGCAGTATCGCCCAGGCGGCCGCGCGGGCCAGCCAGGGGGCGGCCCGGGAGGCGAAGGGACCGCCTGCTGGATGGGCTCCCAGGCTGGAGGTGGAGGCCCGGAGCCCGAGTCAGACATGCCCAGCAGGGCCGAGAAAGCTTCAAGAGACTGGGCCACAACAGCGACTGCCATGCAATCACTCTCACGGCCATGCCTTACTCCGCACCCCTGCTCTCCCTCCCCCGACTTATCAACAGCGCGCGTTTTTTTTTTTTTTTTTTTTTTGTGTTTTTTTTTTTGTTGTTCCTTCCTCTCTTTTTTCCATTTTCTTATCTTTTTATCATTATATATTTATATATAGATGTATTTAAAAAGAAAGCAAACACACATACACACACATATATATATATATATATATATATATATATTCTTATATATACATGTAATTATATGTATATGTATATGTATGTATGTGTATATATATATATATATATATATATATAAAGGCTTTCATTGTGGGGAATCCGCAGTGGCGGCACCGTGGGCCCAAGAAAGCTACAGGAAAACAAGACAAACAGGACAAACATAACATAAACTGTGTTTTCACATGGGAAAACACGATAAACTAGGACGACCTGTGACCGTCGCTATATTTAGGGTGCAGATGACCGATCAATTCAAATCTTTTTGTAGCGGCCTTAAAAAAGGGGTCCCTTGTATGGCGACCTTGCAACAAGATTTGAATCGCGTTGTATCTGCCGTGGCCTCCGTAATCAGAACCCTTTTGTAGCAGCCTGTACGAAGGCATTCCGTTTGTGGCGGCCTTACAATAGGATTTGAATTGTGGGGGATCTGCAGTGGCGGCACCCTGGGCCCAGGAAAACTAGAGAGGAAAACAATAACAACATAACAACATATGTCATCATTCTTTGTTTTTTTTTGTTGTTTTTGTTTTTTTGTTTTCCCTCTCTCTTTTCTTCCACAGGGGGAAGCAAGAACAAGCTAGGAACACCTTTGACGGTCGCTACTTTTAGGGGACAGATGACAGAACCAACACATCCTTTTGTAGCGGTCTTTACAAACAGGATCCATTTTGTGGCGACCTTACAAACAAGGATTTTAAATGTGATGGATCTGCAATGCCCCCCCACACTTCGCATCCTTTTGTCGCAGCTTCTACAAGGTGTTTCCTTTTTATGGCGGCCTTACATTAAGGCTTCAGTTGTAGGGAATCTGCAGTGGCGGCACTGTGGGCCCAGGAAAGCTAGAGAGGAACGCAAGAACAATAGGAGCAACAGGGAGCAGCTTGTGTTTGCACATGGGAACACAAGAAGAAATTAGGAACACTTGTGACTGTCATTATTTTTACACTGTGTACGATCTGCAATTAGCGGCCTTACAAACAAAGTGTAATTGTAGATCATTTGCGCCTTAGAAGTAGCGGCAGTCATAGGTTGTCCAAACTTTTTCTTGTTTACCCCTGTGGAAGCATTGTTTTTTTTATGTGTTGTTTATGTTTTTTTTTGTTTTTCTCCTGTTTTCCTTTCTAGCTTTCCCAGGCCCAGGGTGCCGCCACTGCAGATCCCCCACGATTCTCACACTATTGTGAGGCCGCCACACAAGGAATTCCTTTGCACAGGCTGCTACCAAAGGACGCTCTTTGGGGGGGGGCGCTGCAGATCCATCACACTTGGAATCATTTTGTAAGGTCGCCACACAAGGGTTCCTTTTGTAAAAGCAGTTGCGCCAGGATTTTAATTGTACGGTTACTTGCACGCAAAAAGAAGCGACAGTCACAGGTCGTCCTAGCTTTTTCCTGTTTTTCCCCTGTGTAAGCACGGGCTTCCCCCGGTTTTTCCAATTGTTCTTGTTTTCTTTTTTAACTTTCCTGGGCCCAGGGTGCCGCCACAAAAGGAATCCCCCACAATTCACACCCTACTGTAAGGCCGCCACAAAAGGAATCCCTTTGTAGAGGCTGCTACACAATGATTCTAATTGTGGGGGCCACGGCATATCCAACGCGATGGAAATCCTTTTGCAAGGTCGCCACACAAGGGATCCTTTTTTCTTCGTTTAAAAATAAAAGAAAGGCCGCTACAAACATATTTGAACTGTTCGGTCATCAGCGCCCTAACTTTTTCTTCCGGCTTTTCCATGAACAAGCAAGCTGTTTTGTGTTGTTGTTTTTCTTGTTGCCGTTTTTTTTTTTTTTTTTTTTTTTTTTTTTTTTTTTTTTTTTTTTTTTTTTTTTTTTTTTTTTTTTTTTTTTCCTTTCTTTCTTCTTCTTTCTTTTTTGTTAGATATATATTTTTGTTAAGAAAGTTTGTCCTGTTTTTCCGGTTTTCCTATCTAGCTTTCCTGGGCCCACGGTGCTGCCACTGCAGATCGGCCGCAATTTAAGCCTTAGTGTAAGGCCGCCGCAAAAGGAATTCCTTTGTACAGGCTGCTACAACAGGATTTTCATAGTGGAAGCCATTGCAGATCCTCCACAATCAAAATCCGTTTGTAAGGTCGCCACGAAAGGAATCCTTGTGTAAAGGCGTTACACAAAGACCTTGGGATAAGAAGAAGGAACGGGAAGATGAAGAAGAACGAAGACGACGAACATGCATGATAAATAAACTGATGATCCATAGCGTTCCAATCGCCAGGGAATCGATCAAACATGCATTGCTGGAATCATACAAACAGCGGGTCGGACGGGTAGGACCTTGCCGGTCGGCGAAACAATGCGTAAAAACAGTTACAATCAGGTCAGGCAGGTCCTCCTACAGGCGGATTTGAAGACAAATGGGAAGCAGTCACAAATAATCAAGAACAGTCGAAACATAATAGACACATCGTCTCCATCTCTTTGTTCCCCAAACAGCTTGCTGAACGGGGTGCTGTTGTGAATGAAGCTAACTCCGGCCGAGGGAAGTCGGAGCAGAGACATCCTCAAACAAATTTGATGGTCCGGGCCGTTTCGCTTGAGACATCCTCACAACTCTCGTTTCTGAGTTGGCCGGGATTGGCCGTTTCGCCTGAGACATCCTCGAAAAGTTGCGCTCCGGGACGCCGCGCGAGAGGTGGTCCGGGCCGTTTCGCTTGAGACATCCTCGAAACTCTGAGCCCCGAGGTGCCGTGCGAGAGGTAGTCCGGCCCGTTTCGTCTGAGACATCCTCGAAACTCTAACCTCGGAGATGCCGCGCGAGAGGTGGTCCGGCCCGTTTCGCCTGAGACATCCTCGAACTTCTGAGCTCTGAGATGCCTTGCGCGAGGTGGTCCGGCCCGTCTCGCCTGAGACATCCTCGCAACTCTGAGCTCTGAGATGCCGTGCGCAAGGTGGTCCGGCCTGTTTCGCACAAGACATTCTCACAACTCTGAGCTCCCAGATGCCGCGCAAGAGGTGGTCCAGCCTGGGGGCCCAGAAGACCACATGTTACATATCCTCCCTGGGACCCTGGGAGCCCGCCTGAGACATCCTCGAACTCTAACCTCGGAGATGCCCTGCGCGAGGTGGTCCGGCCCATCTCGCCTGAGACATCCTCGCAACTCTGAGCTCTGAGATGCCGTGCGCAAGGTGGTCCGGCCCGTTTCGCACAAGACATTCTCGCAACTCTGAGCTCCCAGATGCTGCGCAAGAGGTGGTCCAGCCTGGGGGCCCAGAAGACCACATGTTACATATCCCCCCTGGGACCCTGGGAGCCCCAGGAGGCCCCAGAGAGCTTCAGGAGGCCGCAGGACGCCCAGGACAGGCCCCAGGGGTCCGCAGGAGATTCCCAGGAGGCTCCCAGGAGGCCCCAGGAGGCCCCCTATCAGAACGTGTCAAGTTAATACACATCCGGTGTCGATTCGTTGATTTTTCCTGCTCTTGTGCCCCCCCCCCATTTTGGGGGGCCCCGACGGCCACATGTTAGATATCCCCCCCTGGGAGCCCCAAGAGGCTTCAGGAAGCCCCAGGTGGGGTCCAGGAGGCCACAGGAGGCCCAGGAGGAAGCCCCAGGAGGTCACCAGGAGGTCCCAGGAGGCCCCAGGAGGCCCCCGCAACTCGGAGCTCTGAGACGCCGCGCTCGAGGTGGTCCGGCCCGTTTCGCCTGAGACTTCCTCGCAGCACGTTTCGCCCGAGACATCGTCGCAACTCTGGGGTCCGAAATGCCGCGCGCGAGGTGGTCCAGCCCGTTACGCTGGAGACATCCTCGCAACTCTGGGCTCCGAGATGCCGTTCGGGATGAAGAGGAGGTGGAGGAGGAGGAGGAGGAGGAGGAGGAGGGGGAGGAGGAGGAGGAGGAGGAGGCATGTTTTAACATGCCATGCCAGCCCGCACTGGACGGGCACGCAATCGACCTTGGAAACCGCAGTGGGTCTAAAAGCCCTGTTTGGGGATACTGCACTCCGGCTATAATTTGACTATTCTTGAATATTCCTCCTGTAGAGGGACACGCCCGACTTAAAGCTGCCAAACTCGAGCCCGTTGATTCCCCGGTCCTTCCCCGCGGCCGCCGCGGCGCCTCCTGGCCCCTCGCGCGCAGGGCCCGCGGTGGAGCCGGCCGCCACTGCCGCGTCGCCCTCGCCGATATGATCCTCAGAGCGCGCGCTCTTGCCAACGTGCGCTTGGGCGAAGGCCTCTGAAATGGCCCGCTGGGGCGGGGTCGACGGATCGCGCTGCATCGCCCGTGCGTCGCCGATGTATCGGCGATGCATGGGCGATGCATCGGCGACGTCGGCGATGCATCGGCGACGTCGGCGTGGGGAAACACGGTCTCCACATCGAGCCGCATCGTCGATGCGGCGCGATCCTCCAACCCCATCTCGGCGGTGGACAAACCTCCCTCTAATAAACCTCCCCTTAGCGAAACGGCCTAGGACCTAAACCCACGGACCTGGACCCGCATAATGACGGCCGCGACGCCCTCTCGTGAACCGAAAACGGCCAATTCGCTAATCGACGTGTCAGGCAGGGTAGGAGGTCTATCAACCTCCGACCATCTACTCGGACCCCACGTCGGAGGCCTAGATTGGGTCCCTGGCATTTCTGTACCTGGCGCCCCCTGGTCCAATGGCCGCCTCGCGACTCCCCCTCTGTTGCCCCTGGAGGCCTGTGCTCCCCGGAGCAAACGCGCGGAATGCGTCCCGCCGTTGCTTGAACCGCGTCTTGGACCCAAACTGCCGATGACAAAAAAGTTTGTCCACAATAATAGAGTAAGAACAAACGGCATAAACAACAACTTTTGGCGCTCCGCGCGGGTTTCTCGGATATGCGCTGGACCCCCCTCCCTGGCGCGCGGAGCGCGCCAGGGGCGGCGCCGGAGGCACCGCCGGGGCGGACCAGCGCGAATCCAAGGAATCCGTGCGGAGCGCCAAAAGTTTCTGTTTATGGCGTTTTTTCTTCTTCGAGGGAGGCCTTCCATGCGACGCGGGCGGTTGAACCAGGGCCGACGCAAACTTGGTGATGTCGGTGACTCTGGGCGGGATGAACACACATTAGGCTACAGTGGAGGCCCAACCACAAGAACCCCCCCACAAGAAACCCAACCCTGAGACCCCAGGACGTCCATCGACCCTTGGTGTTGGAACGTCACGCCTTCCACAGCAAAACCATCGAAGCCCAAGAAACCCAGGGCACCCTGGAGGCAAGCAACGTGTTTCTTGGCATGGGCCTCCACTGTCACTCGCGTCCTGGGGATCACCGGCCTCGACCAGGAGGATGCTGACGTCGCCCGCGCAGATCGGGCCCGTGCTCACCCTGTCGAGGCCCTCGGTGTGTGGTGCGAGGAGGGGGGCCTTCTTCCGACGTGGGGCCTTCATCATATGGGCGATCTCGGAAACCCTGAACCCTGAACCCCCAAAACGCTGTCATTTCTTGAAGGCGCATCTTTCACTTCCGCCGCCTCCCGCCGAGCTTCCGCCGGCTTCCGCTGGCGGAGGCGGCCTCGCTTTACTTCCGCCGACCTTCCACCGCGGAAGCGATGACGATTCCTTCGATCCTCGAGGGCAAGGCCCTGTCTGGAACGCCCCACACGAGCGGAAAACGGCAAACACATCCGAGAGCTGCGAGGACCTCTTGGATCGGGCGCCGGAGCGCGGAGCGCGCCCCCTCCTCTGCCCGAGGGCTTTCGGAGGTCCGCGGGCTTCGGCGCGCGGGGCGCGCCAGGGGCGGCGCCGGCGGCGCCGCCAGGGGGGGCCCAGCGCAGATCCAGGAGGCCCGCGCCGCGCGGAGCTTTGAACGCTTCTGGAGTGCAGCGCGTTTTTTTTTTTTTTTTTTTTTTTTTTTTTTTTTTTTTTTTTTTTTTTTTTTTTTTTTTTTTTTTTTTTTTTTTTTTGTTTTTTTTTTTTGTTTTTTTTTTCTTCGTCGGTTCAAAGAGGGCTCCCAAGGAAGGCTTCTGCGGAGCAGGGCGGGCCTTGCACGAGAGAGCGGGGCCCGGGGCCCTCCCCAAGATCAGGCCATCATCCCGAACCGTCTTCTGAAAGTCCCGGGGGCCCATGGAAGGGCCCTGGGGAGCCCCAAAACGGCGACAGACCTTGGCAGTGCAACAAGCACAAGCCTATGTATGTGTGTATGTGTGTATGTATGTATGTATGTCTGTCTGTCTGTCTGTCTGTCTGTCTGTCTGTCTGTCTGTCTGTCTGTCTGTCTGTCTCTGTCTGTCTGTATGTACTACGGACGGACGGACGGATGGATGGATGGATGGGTGGATGGGTGTGTATATATATATATATACACATACATATATAACAAGCATAAACTTTTCACTGTCCGCGTGGAGACCTGGGTCTGCGCTGGACCCCCTCACTGGCGCGCTCCGCGCGCCAGGGGCGGCGCCGGAGGCGCCGCCGGGGGGGCCCAGCGCAGATCCAAGAGATCCGCGCGGAGCGCCAAAACAGTCTACGCCTGTATAGTGAAGGCCAGTCCACAAGAAAACTCCCACACGAAACCCAACCTTGAGACCCCAAGACGTCCATCGACTTTTGGTGTGGGAACGTCACGCCTTCCACCGCAAAACCATCGAAGCCCAGGAAACCCAGGGCACCGAGGTGAGCAGGGTGTTTCTTGGCATGGGTCTCCACTGCACGCCTGTACTGTTTCTTTGTTTCTCCGTTGAGGAGGAGGAGGAGGAGGAGGAGGAGGAGGAGGAGGAGGAGGAGGAGGAGGAGGAGGAGAGGAGGAGAGGAGGAGGGAGGAGGAGGAGGAGGAGGAGGAGGAGGAGGAGAGGAGGAGGAGGAGAGGAGGAGGAGGAGGAGGAGGAGGAGGAGGAGGAGGAGGGAGGAGGAGGAGGAGGAGGAGAGGAGGAGGAGGAGGAGGAGGAGGAGGAGGAGAGGAGGAGGAGGAGGAGGAGGAGGGAGGAGGAGGAGGAGGGAGCGCCAAAAAAGCTCACGTCTGCACCCGTTTTTCTTTGTTCCTCGGCTTGGGTGTTCCTTTCCTTCGCGGCGGCGGAGGGCCGCCCCCCCCTCCGCGCCGTGCCCCCGCCCCCCTGTGAGAGGCGCCGCCAGCCTCCAGCGCCTGCAGGCTCGCCGCCAGCGCCCGGGGCAGCTGCGCCGAGCTCCTGCGAGCGGGGCGGGGATTGGCGGCGGCGTGCCCAGACCCTCTCGAGCCACGAACAGAATCACACTGGGATTTTCTGTCGTTATTGTCGGCCTCTGGGGACCGTTACTGGGCCTCAGGGCCGCCAAAAGAAGGATCAGGACGAAAAGCCCCTCCCGGGGAATGGATCGAGACCTCTTAGGGTCGAAGTCAAGAAAAATCATGACGTCGGGGTCTGGGTAGGGGAAGGGGGGGAGGCTTCTTAGAAGCACCCCTGATTCGTAGAAGGCGCGGGCCTTGCCTGTAGACGTGAGGCCGGCGGCTTCTAAGAAGCAGCCTCCTTCTAAGAAGCCTCCCCCCCTCCCCCTGCCTCCCTCTGCGCGCCGCCAACGGGACCTGTGCACACAACCGCCGCCTTCTTACAGGGGATCTGTCGACCCGTATCCCAAGCTTCGTAAGGTTTTCTACTGGGCCAGGAATCTGGGGCCCAACCCCGGGATGTATGATGGGGGGGCGTCCATTCTCGATAGGCGTGCGTCCGAGTGGACCCTGGGGGTACATCCCCGAGTTTCCCTCCTCTTCCGAGCGGCTTCATTTTTCGTCGACAAGTCTGGGGCGTGGGGGGACAAATCGCCTGATATCCACACAACCGCCGCCTTCTGCGGCAACTCCTGGGGGCCTCCCGTCCCATCTAGTTGGCTCCCGCAAATCGACGACTAGCGACGCTCATCGACGCCACATCGGCGCTAACCGGCGCTGCCTCGTCGACTACCAGACGCTCATCGACGCAAGACGGAGTTACGAGGGCATAAGAGCTCCCATGATTTGCCACCGAAGCCGCCTGGGGTTGGGTGAGCCTTCATGGGAGCATCTGTGGACCTCCGCGGCCCTGTCATAAACGTGACTTCGATCAGGTTTCTTCCAGATTCCGACCACCCCTCTTCACATTTTCGTCAAGATGTCGTCCACATGTCGTCCAATTTCGCTCAGATGGCAACCAAATCGTGCGAAACCTGGGCGAAATTCTTAATACCGCAAGAAGTTTTGGGACCACCTCCCATAAATGACCACACAACTCGGGGACAGGATCAATCAGCATCCAATCGGGACATCGGATCTAATCGAGATGTGCTCCAAATCGAGCAGCATCGGCACGGAATCGAAACGGAATCGGACCGGCTGCGCCAAGATGCACAACCGCGCCGTGCAAGCATCTGGCCGCATCAGATCGCTGGAATGTCGAAATCGAGTCGGATCGGGCTGGCTAGAATCGATATCGCATCGGATCGATTGGGTCGAAATGGACCCTGGGGGGATCAACTTCGGGGACGTCGGCAGGCGGTGAATATGGAGATATCCCACCAGCCCTTCAGGGAGTGAATGCTTTAGAGAGTTTCTTCTTCCAACCTTCCTTCTTACCCTTCGGGGAGGGGTTTATCACTGTTCCCTATTAATATACACCCCCTCCCCAAGGCGACCGGCAGCCAACCAGGAACCATGAGGACCCCATGAGCCCCACCACCCCCCACCATCCCTGTCAACAAACAATACAAAATACACTTTGGATTAAAGTCTGGAGACATGTTCGTGAGACCCGCGAGCACTGTGTATTGCTTGCACATTGCCTGCTGCGCGCAAGGCTACCATCCCTGATAAAAACAATACAAAATGCACCTCGCGGCTCAGTCTGGATCATGCGCGGCCACCTGGCGATCACTGTCAAGTGGTGGCGTATGGCCTGCTGCGCGCAGGTCCACCAGACACAATGAGGGGCATTGGTTTTCGACATGGATGGTGGCGGCCGACATGTTTCCCGATGTGTGCACATGTTTCCCGATGTGTGCTGTCACGTGCGCAGGCGCACATGACGCACTCTGCACGTGCCCCGAACGTGGCGCACCTGGCGCGGCTGGAGTGTGCGGCACACCTGGCGCACGCGGAGGTACGTGGCGCATCTGACGCACCAGGCGTGCCTGGTACGCTCGGGCCCCGGGGGTGCCTGGCGCGCGTGGCGCCCCTGGCACGCGTGGCGCACCTCGCCCCAACATCGCGCACCTGGGGTCGGCCCCCCGGACCTGGGGGAAGGGGGTCGCCAAGGGTTAGAGCGTCCAAAACGGACTCGGCGAGGAAGCCAACATGATTGGCTTCACTAAGGTTTTGGCCGCATTTTGGCCTCCTGGGGGGAGGGGGGCCCTAGTTGAGGACCTCCCCTCCTTTGATCGATCTCCTCCAAGATGGCCCCCAAGGCCCCCAAGGGTGCCCCAACATGGCCCCAAGAGGTGCCCAGGAGGCCCCAAGAGGCACCCACGATGCCCCCAAGAGGCTCCCCAAAGACCCCCAAGACGCCCCAAGAGCCCTCGACGAGACAACAAGCATCGCTGGTCTGACTCAGGTTCTGGCCACACGTTAGCCTCCTGGGGGGGGGGCCCTACTTAAGGAGCCCCTCTGCTTTGATCGATCTGCTTGAGGAGGAGGAGGAGGAGGAGGAGGAGGAGGAGGAGGAGGAGGAGGAGGAGGAGGAGCAGGAGGAGGAGGAGGCTCCCAAGGGTGCCTTAAGGCTCCCAAGGGTGCCTTAAGAGGGCCCCGAAAGGTGCACGGGAGGCCCCGAGAGGCCCCCACGAGGCGCCCAGCCAGCATGCCCCAAAGAGGCGCCCAAGAGGCCCCCAAAAGGCCTCGGCGAGAAGCCCAAATCATTGATTTGTCTCGAAGGTTCTGGTCACATGTTGGCGACCCTGATCATGAAGGCCCCCCTCCTTTGATCGATCTTTTCCACAATGGCCCCAGGATGGCCTCCGAGGCTCCCAAGGGGTGCCCCAAGACGGCCCGAAGAGGCGCCCAAGAGGCCCGAAGAGGCCCGCACGACACCCCCAAGATGTCACCAAGAGGCTCCCCAGAGACCCCCAAGAGGTTCCAAGAGGCCCCCAGAGGCACCGAAGACGCCTCAAGAGGCCCCTGCGACTGCCAAAGGACCCCCGAGACGCCCCAAGAGGACTCCCAGGAGCTCTCGAAAGAAATCCGAAGAGACTCCGAGAGGCATCCACGAGGCCTCTGGCCATTCTGCTCGGCCTCCTTGTCCTCCTCCTCCTCATCCTCCTCCTCATTTTCTTCACCCGCCTTTTTCCTCCTCCTTCCTCCTCCCTCCTCCCCCGCCCCCTCCCTCCTCCTCCTTCTCCTCCTCCTCCTCCTCCTCCTCATTATCCTCCTTCTCCTCCTGCTCTTCATCCGATTCCTCCTCCATCCTCCCCCTCTTGGGGGACGACGTCTTACCCAGCCAATTATTTCACTGCATTCTCCTCCACATCCCCTGATCAGGGCATCTCGTCTGGGCACCGCTTCTGGATGGGCTGGTGGGGTCACGCGAAGCGTCTAGAATTTGGCCTCCCCCGGGCCCGAATGTATATCCATCTCCATCGCCTGCCGAGGTCCCCGAACATCGATCTCCCAGGCGGTGGTCATGGATCAATCCCCGCCTGGGATCCTGAGCCTCTGCGCCATCGCGGCCGCGTCTGCGCCAGGGCGAGGGTGCACGACAGCCTCGGGGAGGAGCAACACACATCAGCTCAGCAACAGGCTCTCGCTGCAGCAGACGTGAGGAGGCGGGCCGAGGAGCAGAAGGTCGAGACGCGCCCATGAGCACCTGAGCAATTCTTGGATGGCGAGGGACCGTGGCCGCCCGGACCGAACAGTGTAGCTGGCACCGAGGCGAGAGCACGATTCCTGATTAGGCTTTGAGGGGATCTCCCGGGGAACGGCTGCCGGACCGGCTGCCGGGCCAGGCGGTCTCGAGGTCCCTGTCCCCCCCCCCCCCCCCGTGGGACTTTTCTGCCGTCCTTCTTTGTCATGTAGATTGGAAGCCTCTAGCGGAAGGCTAGTAGGAAACACAAACATACACTTTCAGAAATCAGAGCGGTCCTCGGCACACACATGTTCATGTGTATATTTATATTTACATGCATGTATGTCTGTCTGTCTGTCTGTCTGTCTGTCTGTATGTATGTATGTATGTATGTATGTATGTATGTATATATATAATATGTATACTAAAACCACGCGAGCTTCGCGCGCGGTTAGGTTCTTGCGCAGCCCATGGCGTTGTGATGACACGAAGGTCTGGGTTTGCGGGCGACTCGCTGTCGGAGAAAGGTTGCGACCGTCTTGGGCAGGTTATGGGATGTCGCAGGGCTCCCTTGGACTGGCTTTTGGGCTGTGTAGGCGCTGTCTTGGGGGGGGCAGGTGTCTTTGGCCCCGATGGCGCCGTCCAGGGTTGCCAGGTCGTCGTCGCAACCCTGGGAACTCCAATCTGCACAATTGTCGCCACTTTCGTGGGCTCCTGGGAGGCCCAGCGGAGGTACGTCCCACGCGGATCACCTCGGTACCTCGCCGCCCCCTGGGGGGCTTGCGATTTGCGCAACTGTCGCCACTTTCGTGGGCTGCTGGGGGGCCCAGCGGAGGTACGTCCCACGCGGATCACCTGGGTACCTCGCCGCCCCCTGGGGGGCTTGCGATCTGCGCAACTGTCGCCACTTCCGTGGGCTCCTTTTGATTCCACTTTTGGGTGCTTCTCTTTGGGTTGCTGCCGCGCTCTTCTGTCTCCACTCCTGGATGCGTGTCCACCCCCCTTATGCACCTCATGCACTTGCCCCGCTCAGCGCAGCGCGTTGCTGAGTTAAACGGATGTTCTACTTTAGCCCTCGCCGCCGCGCCCTCTTGTGTTCACTAATGGGCGCGTTTCTTTCAACGCCCCTGTGTTTGCATTTTGTGTATTTGCCGTTCCCTTCTTGCTGCGCTCTTCTGAAATCGCTACTGGGTCCTTCAGAACGCCAGTCAGCATTGGGTGGTCTGAATACAATCGCCGCATGTGTAGAATGGGTTGGGTCCGTCACAAGGTAATTGATAAACGAGTGCGCGCGCATAGTATGTTTTGCAGAAAGCGGCGGGGGGAGTGATACTGGCCTGGTTGGGATAGTATGAATTCATATTCACGATGGACGAACGTGCAGAAAACATATGACGACACAATACCCCAGGGGGTACTGTTAACTCTGGGGGATGTTTTTTTTTTTTTTTTTTTTTTTTTTTTGAAGAATAGGAAAATTAACCTGTCAGCAGATGGCGGGGGCTGGCATATCCGTGGCTGCTAAAACGGGTTTCCCGGAATAAGTAAACACATTCCCATAATAAAACTCAGCGCGCTGAATATTAAACGGGCTGCTTCCCCGAAAAGGAGAACAATTTCTCGGAGCTCCGTTTTAGCAACCACGGGTTTGCCCTGGCTCCTGAGCCTGGTGCACTATGCGTTGTGCAACCTCCGTGGAGCAGTTTATTTGGTGCAATGTATGTGGTGCATCATATGTTGTGCCACCTGGGCTGTTCAATCTAGGTTGCGCAACGTATGTTGTGCAATTTATGCTTTGACATCTCATGCTGTGCAACCTATGTGGGCAATCTACGTTGTGCAGTTTAACAGGGACAGTATCGTGCTCCATATGTGCGATCTATGCTGTGTAACCTATGTTGTGAACTCAACGCTGTGCAATCTATGTGGCGAAGCCTATGTGGTGTAAACCACTCTGCTGACTTGGAACTCGTCATCTCCACTGCTCGCGCAAACATCCCACCCTCCCTCCCGCAACTTGTTTGGCAAAACTCATGATGCGGGGGACGGCGGCGCCACCGATGACGACATCGATGATCACATCCTCACTGCCGGTGCTCGTCACCGTGAGTCGATGATGCAGGTTAGCATATCGACGATATTCGGACGTGCGCGACGACAAGATGACGTCGGCAACGTCTGCGGCAATGACGAAGACGGCACCAGCGACGACGATGTTCAAAAAGGCGACGGCACGAACGATAACGGCGCCAAAGGTGGCAAACACGCTGACGATGCTGATGTCCATCTGTCGATGAGGCAGGTGATCGCGGTGAGGCTGACATGAGCAGGACACCCGCGCGCGCGGAAGTTCAACAAATCCGTCAGACTGATCATGCGCGCGCGGCGGTGCGCGCATGTGGCCCGCGTGGTTTTTTGCTGCAAGGGATTCGCGCCCTCGGCGCATGACAGGAGTATCGCGGGTGCACCGCGTGGTGACATGAAATCGTTGGGTTTGGCAGAGTTCATAAGAATCCCAAGGTTTTTGCATGTTTTTAGCATAAGCGCGCGGGCAAGAAATTTGTATTTTTTTGGTTGGTTGCAAGACCCTTGGGTTTTTTTGTTTAAGAGGTTTTTATGTTGAAATGCTTGCGAACACATTGTGTGTTGGTACGATTTTGACATGGACGCGCGCGTGATGACTTTTTTTGCAAGGGATTATTGAGATTTGCTTCTTAAGATGAAGAAGTGTGCGCGCATCGTTTTTTGCAGAGGATGGCGGGGGGGGAGTCGATACCGGTTTGGCTGGGATCGTATGAGTTCGCAGGTAAGATGGACGAGTGTGTAAAAAATATATGAAATCGCAATACCCCAAGGGAGATCGTTAACTCCGGGGGGGGGGGGTAGAGTCTATTCTTCTTTTAGAAAAGAGAATCAATTGGGTGCAGAAGATGTAGTGCGCAATCTCTCTTGCAACATGTATCTTGCAATCTACGTGGTGTAGTTTTATGGTATGTACCCTGTGTTGTGCAATGTATGTTGTGCCATTTAGGTTGCGCATCATTTTTTGCCATATATGTCGTGCAATCTGTGTTGTGCAACTTACGCGGTTCAGTGTATGTGAAGCAAAATATGTGATAATTCTATATGTTGAACTGTCTGGGTGGAGCCATCCATGTGGTGCAATACATGCCGTGAAATCCGCGCTGTGCAATTTATTCAATGCAATCTCTGCTGTGCAGCATAAGTGGAGCAATCTATGTGGTGCACTCAATGTGGTGCAATGTACGTGGTGCAGTCTATGTGGTACGCAATCCATGCTGTGCAATCGGTGTGGAGGAATCCATGTGATGCAGTAGATGTGGTGCAATCTAGTTTGATAACCTATGTGGTACAATCTGAATAGTCAGGCCGTGACGGCGGGCGGCGACGAGGCGGCGACGGGGCGGCGACGGCGACGACATAGCCGTCAGACCGACGCGCAGGCCCAGACAACGGGCTGCGACGAGGCGGCGACGGGGCGGCGACGGCGACGACATAGCCGCCAGACCGACGCGCAGGCCCAGTTCCCTTAGAGCAGAAGTAAAGCCCCCCTGAATGCAACCACTTTTCAAGGAACATATGTTTCTGCAGTCTCTTCAGCTTCTCAGACCCTCCCTGGACGGGGACACGGATTTGATACACCAAGACATTGGCGCATCCAGAGAATTTTGCATCCGTGGGTGGAAGCATTCTCCATGATTTGCCTCCTCCCGGTGGGACTTTTACTTCCCCGGTTCTCAATGTTCTGGTGTCTGGGGCCCTGGTTTACGCAATTGTTTTTCTCCTGTCGGAGCTCGACACAAACCCCTTGAGCAAAGCATCCTGTATTGAAAGCGACCCAGGACCAGACCCTGCGGGCGCAAGCCCGCAAACACGGGGGCGGCACATCCTCTCCAGAGCCGAACGAGGGCACTTCTCTGATTGACTTGGCAGGGTGGGGGCTTCTACAGAACATCCCTCAAGAACGTGATACCCTCCGCCGGCCAAAACAAACAGAACATCCCAGGGTACCCTCCCCAGGATGCAGAAGAACATCCAACAAACACGAAGATCAACTGGGTACTCTCCCCGAACCGATCTCGATCTTATCATTACCTCGCGAGGCCTGCACGAGGCCCGGGTACGCCAGCGGCAGCGCCAGCGCGACGTGGTCCTTCGAGGCGCGCTCTCCCGCCTCCGCGGCGACGGCCTGCTTCAGCCGTGCCTCGAAGGCCGCCAACAGCTCCGCGTCTGCGCGCAGGGAGCCTGGAAGAACAGAGGACACCCTTGCGGCAGAAGACCCTGGCCCGGCTCTACACTTATACCGCCAACGCAGAGGGAGCCACGTGGCGGTAGCAGAGACGGCACGACGGACAGACAAACGCCGGACGACAGACGAGACGACGGGGGCGCGGCGGGGACCGTCCTGGTAGCCGCTGGGGATGCCCAGAACGACCACGATGGGAGCCCACCGATGGGGGTCACGAGGAGGAGCCACGATGAGGAACCAGGATGACCCAACGATGTCGAGGGCCGGGCATGCCTCACAAGGCGGCAGAATCATACACACATCCACAACAGTGTATATATATAAACATATATATATGTATGTGTATACGAATATATGTTTATACACGTGTATGTATGTATGTGATTATGTGATTATGTATGTCTGTATGTCTGTCTGTCTGTCTGTCTGTATGTATGTATGTATGTATGTATGTATGTATTTATGTATGTAGGTATGCATGTATGTATGTGCACATATATATATATATATGTTACACTATATATATATATAGATATATCAACAAACTGCATTGGCGCTTCGCGCCATGCGCCTTGGTCCTTGAGGCTTTGCTTACGTTGGTCGTTCGCGCCATCCCTAGTGGCCTTGGAAATTTGGACCCTGCGGTGATTTTCGGAAGTCTTCGAAAGTTCGGGCGATCCGTGACCCTTCACGGGACTGCGGAGGCTCCCGAGAGGCGCTGGGTGGAGGGCGAAGGATAGGAGGGAGGGGATCTCGGGGAACGAAGAAAGGGAAGTAGATGTGGGCGAGGACGAGTGGTAGAGTGGCAGAGTGGCAGAAAGGAGGAGGAGGAGGAGGAGGAGGAGGAGGAGGAGGAGGAGGAGGAGGAGGAGGAGGAGGAGGAGGAGAGGAGGAGGAGGAGGAGGAGGAGGAGCAGCAGGAGGAGCAGAGGAGGGGAGGAGGAGGAGGAGGAGGAGGAGGAGGAGGAGAGGAGAGGAGAGGAGGAGGAGGAGGGAGGAGGAGGAGGAGGAGGAGGAGGAGGAGAGGAGGAGGAGGTGCTGGCGGCGCGCGCGGCCGCACCCGGCGGCCAGCGGCGGCGAGCCGCGCGCGGCGGTGGGGCCGCCGCGGCGGCGGCGGTCGCCGCGGCGCGGGGAGCGTCGGCGGCGCCAGCCGTCGGGCTGGCCGAGGGGCTGGCTGTGGGGCAGGCCGTGGGGTTGGCCGTGGGGCAGGCCGTGGGGCTGGCAGCCGGGCTGGCCGTAGGGCCGGCCGTGGAGCTGGCAGCCCTGCGCCACGCCAGGCGGCCCGCCCGCCGCCGTCACCGCAGCGGCGGCGGCGGCCGTTGCGCGGGAGAGGGCGGCCGCCGCGGCCCACAGGCCTGCGGTAGGCGCCGCGGCGGCGGTGTCGGCGGCAGCGCCAGCGGCGCCCGCGGCCCTTTGCCTGCGGCGCCGAGCGGCCGGCGCCGCCGCCGCAGGGGACACCATAGCCCGGGGGCAGCGGCGGAGAGGGGAGGGAGACGAGACCCCCCCGTCCAAGCCGCCGCCAGAGGCCCGCGGGCGCGCCCGCCAGGCCGCGGGACCCAGGCCGCGCAAGCCACCTCGAGCCGAGACGGCTTGAGCCAAGGGGGCTACGGAGGCTGGTGGGGATACTTTTTGGTCAACAGGCTTGCGAGGCGGGTCGAAAGCCGTCCGAGCACCAGTCGGGCCGCGACTAGGCAGCAGGAAAAGAAAGGCAAACGAAGCGAGCGAGCGGGCAGCCACTCAGAAGGAGAGCCAGCTGGTGGGGATACGTTTTTTTTTTTTTTTTTTTTTTTTTTTTTTTTTTTTTTTTTTTTTTTTTTTTTTTTTTTTTTTTTTTTTTTTTTTTTTTTTTTGTTTTTTTTTGTTTTTTGTTTTTTTGTTTTTTTTGTTTTTGTTTTTACAGCCGCAGGCGGGAGCGCCAGCGGCGGGAGGTCGCGGGCGGGCTACGGCCGCGACTAAATTGCCGAGCGCGCGCGGGGGCCGCGGATCAGGCGGCGGGGGGGGGCAGCGCCCAGGGCGGCAGAGCCGACGTGCAATCCAGGGAGACTGAGACAGCCCCTGAACGGGCATGCAACGGTGCATCCAGGGAGCCTGAGGACAGGCACCGAGGAGACCAAGCGCAGCCAAAATGGCGCGTGAGGCGTTCCCAGAAGTCCAGATGCGAACAGAAGGAACGTTCCCGAGGACACCGATCCAGGGAGTCTGACGGGTAACAGAGATTGACTGGGGACGTAAGTCCAGCGGAAAATCCTGACGGCGACTCCAGTCGCGACGCCAGAACGCGCATCCAGGGTGTGGAGCATGATGACAGGAGAACCTTCTTCCACAACTGAGATGCGTCAGCCCAGATCCATCGAGTGGAGGGGCGCAGTAGTGCACGATACACGGTCGCGTAACGTGTGCACATCCAAAGTGACTCAGCGCTACCCAGCCGAGTCGGATAGCACCCGAGGGACGAGAACTGGTGGGGATACGCGAAGCGTCAAGAATTCTCTAAACAGCGCAGCGTCCTCGTTCGACGGACGGAAAGGCCATGCGTGCACTTTCGCTCGCACGTTCGTGGCATGAAGCGCACTATGCTTCGCATGTGAAATACACATGTAATACAACTCTTGCAGAGAAGCCGTTTAAGGAAATTGAGGGAAAGACGTGATAAGCATAAGTAGACTTTCAGAGGTCCGCGCGGATTTCTTGGATGCTGGACCCCCATCCCTGGCGCGCCCCGCGCGCCAGGGGCGGCGCCGGAGCCGCCGCGAGGGGGGTCCAGCCGGCGCCGAGCCCAGAATTCCTTGCGGACTCCAACATACGGTGAGATCATCGGATAGGAATCATTTGATAGATAATCCAGGGCTTGGAAGCCGGTGGAACTCCAATCGCGGCCATGGGTGTCACCGCATCGGACCAGGAATTCTCCAAGGTCTGGGGGCTCCTGGGCGCATTCCTTAACGGACGCCCCCATCGTATCACAATGTTAGTTGTGAAGATGTTTCCTCTTAGAGAGCCCAGGTCGAGGTTGTGGAGCGTGAAGGACAACCGCACCGAGCAGGACCCCGCTGTTGGCGCGACGGCCCGCTCGACGCGCTCCAGCCTGGCCTCGGCCCGGGCGAGGGCTGCGGCGAGCTGCTGGGAGTGCTCCTCGAGGGCCCTGTAGTCCAGCCTGCTCTTGGACAGCTCGTCCATGATCCTTGCGGGTGGGCGAGCAGGGGGGGAGGTTGGCGGCGCGCAGAGGGGGGCAGGGGGAGGGGGGAAGGCTTCGCAGAAGCACCCCTGCTTCCTAGAAGGCGCGGGCCTGGTCTGTAAATGCAAGGCCCGCGGCTTCTCAGGAGCAGCCTCCTTCTAAGAAGCCTTCCCCCCTCCCCCTGCCCCCCTCTGCGCGCCGCCAACGAGGGGGACTGGCCGAGGGGGGGCACGTGGACACGTGGGACTCGGCGATGCACCTCTCCGACGGGTCGGCGACAGCCCCTCGCTGCGGCAGCTCACGCTCCCGGTCAGGCTGGGGCAGCGAGGCCTCGATCGGCGAGGCATAGGCGATCGGGGCGACGACGACGACGACGACGACGACGATGACGATGACGACGGCGACGGCGACAGCGACGACGACGGCGACAGCGACGGCACAAGCGAGCCGCTCGGGTGTTATGGTGTGATGCTGCAGTCTCTCCCCGCCCCTCCGCCTCACACCTCCCCGCCTGGCAGCAGCTCCTCGGCCACCATCTGCGATGTGTGGAGATCCGCCCCCACGAAAGACCAGGCCGCATTGCAGAGACCATCGTATTGGATCTCTGGGCTTCGCAGATGCTCGATCGGGACTGCTCTCCCCCCCCTGAGCCGATTTCCGCTTGTCGGCGCCCCTGGATCCTGGTCTCCTCCTGCACATGCGCCTTGCGGACCTCCTCGGCGCGCGCGCCAAGTCTCTGCATGTCCTCCTGGGGCAGAGGAGGCACACAATACATATCTATATGTATGTATATACATACACATATATATATGTATATATATATATATATATATATATATATATTCATACATCCATACACACATACACACATACACACATACACACACATACATACATACATACATACATACATACAGACAGACAGACAGACAGACAGACAGACAGACAGACAGACAGACAGACAGACATACATACACATACATACATACATACATACATACATGCATGCATGCATACATACATACATACATACATACATACATACATACATACATACATACAACATACATACATACATACATACATACATACATACATACACACATACATACATACATACATACATACATACCTACACACATACATACACACATATACATACATACATATACATACATACATACACACATACATACATACATACATACATACATACATACATACATACATACATACATGCATGCATGCATGCATGCATGCATGCATGCATGCATACATACATACATACATACATACCTACCTACATACATCTATATAAATCTAAGCTTTCGGATGTCCTCGCGGGCCTCTTGGATCGGCGCTGGCCCTGGCGGCGCCTCCGGCGTCGTCCCTGGCGGCGCGCTCCGCGCGCCTAGACAGGGAGGTCCAGCGCCGATCCCAGAAATCCGCGCGGACCTCTGAAATTGCACCGTCGGCACGCGAGATACAGTCGGCCCGTATCATCAGTAGGCGCGATAAGGATGCAAGGGCCTTGGACGCCCATTTCGAAGCTTTTCGAGCGGGGCGCGGCCAACGAAAGTGGCCAAGGATGGACCGAGGAGGCAAGGACGCAAGGGTACCCCTGGCAAATTGCCCATCCTAGCTGTGCGGGCTGACCGTAAGAAATCGGACTGCGAGCAGGTGCCCCACGGAAGTCTCTTGCTATTCTACGGCAGCCCTGGGGACTCACAGAGGTTCTGGGGCGCCTCGGGAAGCTCACAGATATCGATGACGAACGTGCCATCGTTCTTCTCCCCCTCCTCCTCCTCCTCCTCCTCCCCCTCCTCCTCCTCCTCCTTCTCCTCCTCCCCCTCCTCCTCCTCCTCTTCCTCCTCCTCCTCCTCGTTCTTCCTTCTCCTCCTCCTCCTCCTCTTCCTCCTCCTCCTCCTCCTCCTCGTTCTTCGTTCATCGTGCCCCCTCCTTCCCCCCCTTTTTCCTCCTCCTCCTCCTCCTCCTCGTTCCTCCTCCTCGTTCCTCCTCCTCTTCCTCCTCCTCCTCCTCCTCCTACAGGCTGCACGTTTGTGCCGTTTGCGATTCTTCGATCCTCGTGGCTCCGCTGCAGCTTCGCCGCGCGCTCGTCCAGCACCTCCCGGGCCAGGCTGTCCCGCTCGGCCTGCAGCTGCTGCAGCATCTGCCACAGCTGCACCTGGGCCGGGGCCGCACGGGCTCGAGCGACCGAGCGCAGGCACGACACACTTCGGGGAGACGTGAGACTCGGGCTCGGGGGACTCGAGTTGGCCTGACGGGGCCATCATGAGAATGACGAGATCCAATCTGAAACCTGACGCGAGCTCCCGCTGCAGACCTCCCACGAAAACCGGACCGTCAAAATCCAGGACGCGCTCGTCAAGACATGTCGGCAAAGCAGAGGTCGGGCTTGCTCGAGTCTTACGTTTCTCCGAATCTTGATTCAACCCTCGGAGACGCCTGCCCCAGGCCAGCTGGAAAGTTGATCGCCCGACGAACCACCGTAGGGGTATAACATTTTTCGAGCCGCCCTGGGACAGGCGTCCACGATGGCGAAACAGATGCTTCATACCTCTCTCCGTCCGCAAGAGACAAGGGGGGGGCGGGAGAGGGTGGGATAGACGAGTCTTAGACACTCCTTCGCAAAAAGGAATCGAGAAACCGGCGGCCCTCCCCGGCATTGTTAGCTCTTTTTGGGCCTCCTCCTCCTCCTCCTCCTCCGCCTCCCTCCTCCTGCTCCTCCTCCTCCTCCTTCTCCTCCTCCTCGAGGCTTCTCGTTGCCACGGCTGCATCCGCCCCGAACAGAACGAGCCCGTATGGACCCTGGGAGAGGGGTGTCCAGGGACCGTCTTTGAGCGCCTCCCTTTCCTCCCTTTCCTTCCTTTCCTCCTCCTCCTCCTCCCTTTCCTCCTCCCTTTCCTCCTCCTCCTTCTCCTCCTTTTCCTCCCTTTCCTCCCTTTCCTTCTCCTCCTCCTTCTCCTCCTTTCCCTCCTCCCACGGTCGTCGTTTTCGCCGTCGTCCTCATGAGAGAACCGCCGTTGCTTCAACTGGCCCAGCTCCGATAAGACAACACAGGCATAACATACCTACAGCACGTCACGAAACACCCTCTGCTTTTCAGCGACCGGGGCCGCCTGGGCCGACCTCCAGGGCTGCCAAGGCGGCCCCTCAAAACACGTGGGGAAGTGGACTCCGAACCGCGCCCACGAGAACTCTCCGTTCGGACGAAAGGGGGGGTAGTCAAATGGGGGATCCGCGAATCACGCAGCTGGCTTTCCGGGTGCCCTCTGGCGCCAGAGGCTCCCGTGTATCGCGGAAAGACGCCTGGCGGCGAGGCCGAAACCAGCTGCACAGAGCAAGCTTCGTGACCCCCCGTTCCCCATCATCTCCTGTCTTCTGCAGGGGCCGACCGTCCCGGCATCCGGCATTCCCGCAGGCCTACCGCGCAGTGTTCTCGCAACTGCAAGGCTGTTCCCAGGGCGAGGACAGTACAGCCAAAAACCCTAATTAGGACGCGCGGTAAGGACGCAGGACCCTTGGAAGCCGAAGTCGGGAGTTCTGGGGCGGCGGACGGCGAACACCCCAAGGGCGCAGGAGCAAGGACGAGCAAGGACGCAAGGGCACCCTGAGCAAAGCCGCGCGTCCTTATTCGGGTTTTTGGCTGTACTGTGTCAGCCAGGCGTGCTCCTGTGCCATCTTCGCCTGGGTCACCAGCCTTCGCGCGTGCCCTCGGGAGCCCGCACACCGAAGAGGGCCAGCTCTCAGGCCCAGACCGCGACGCGCGCAGTGTGGTCACCTCCGCGCCTCTCGAGAGCACCGCGAGCACGTTTTGCAAACCGAGCAATTGGTTTGTGCATTTTTGTGGCGGGCCTGTCGGCAGGCCTGGACGCTTCGTCACTGCACGCTTTTTTCTAATGGGGAGTCAGAGGCAAACTATGCTTTCGGAGGTCAGCGCGGATTTCCAGGATCGGCGCTGGACCCTCTTCACTGCATGCGCGCCGGGGTCGGCACCAGAGGCGCCGATAGGGGATCCCAGCACAACCAAGAAATCCGCGCGGACCTCTGGAAGATTGAATTTATCCATTTTCCCGACACGGTAAATTGGGGCTGTCAGAGAAAAGGATCCCCGTGCTCACCGATTATCCCGCCTCCACGCGGATTTCTTGGATCTGAGCTGGACCCCCCTCCCTGGCGCGGTCCCTGGCGGAGGCGCCACGGGGGGGGGGGGGGCCAGCGCAGATCCTAGAAATTAGCGCGGAGCGCCAAAAGTTTATGTTCATGGCGTGTTTCTCCTTCGAGGGAAATCGATCCCCCATCGACCTCCTCCTCCTCCTCCTCCTCCTCCTCCTCCTCGACCTCCTCCTCCTCCTCCTCCTCCTCCTCCTCGACCTCTTCCTCCTCCTCCTCCTCCTCCTCCTCCTCGACCTCCTCGACCTCCTCCTCCTCCTCCTCCTCCTCGACCTCCTCCTCCTCCTCCTCCTCGACCTCCTCCTCGGCCTCCTCCTCGGCCTCCACTGCCGTCGATCCCCCTGCGCCTCGAGCCCCGACGGTGCCCCGGCCCGGGGCTCGGCGGGCCCCGCCGCGTGGCGGCCCGGCGGGGGCTCCGGCGGCGGGGGCGCCCAGGCGCCGCCCGGCGGGGCGCGGCAGGGCGCCGCGGGCGGGCCCTCGGGGGGCCGGGCCCGCAGCGGCGTGCGCGGCGGGGTGCCGCAGCTCGTGGCAGACAGGGGCCTCGCTCAGGGAGCTCCTCCTCCTCCTCCTCCTCCTCCTCCTCCTCCTCCTCCTCCTCCTCCTCCTCCTCCTCCTCCTCCTCCCCTCCTCCTCCTCCCTCCCCCTCCTCCTCCTCCCCCTCCTCATTCCTCCTCCTCTTCCTCCTCCTCCTCCTCCTCCTCCTCCTCATTCCTGGCATTCCTATAGGCCTACCGTGGAGGCCAGTCCACAAGAAGCCTTCCACAAGGAACCCAACCCTGAGACCCCAGTGGACGTCCATTGCTTTTTGGTGCGGGAACGTCACGCCTTCCACAGCCAAACCATCGAATCCCAAGAAACCCAGGGCACCCTGGAGGCCAGCAAGGTGTTTCTTGGCATGGGCCTCCACTATAGGCCTACCACGAGATGCCCCTAGAGCCGAATAATGTTCCAAGAACAAGGACAGAGTTCTTGACACAAAACCCCGATGCGTTAAAACAAAGCAGTCCCAACCAAACATGTTCCAAACGTGCAGACCACTCAAGGCTCTTGCTACGTTCTCTGGCCGGCCAGGACGCTTCGGCACTGCCTGAAGGCCTGGGAGGCACTGCGCGGAGGCCCTCGCCGGCAGCCGCGCACTCGCCCACGGCGTCGAACTGCCAGGAGTGGCGCATGCCCGAGAAGCTGCCCCCGAGGCCGTCCTGCAAGCTCTGGGTGTCGTGCCACACGGCTAGCGAGCCGTGCGTGGCCATGTGCCCCTCGTAGCGCGGCGACGGCGGCTGCTGCCGGCAGGGCGCGTGGGCCCACGCAGGGCGGGCGGCGTCCGCAAAGCCCGCGAAGCCAGCGCCCGTGTGCCTGGCGGAGGCGGAGGCGGAGGCGGAGGCGGAGGCGGAGGCGGAGGAGGAGGAGGATGAGGATGAGGATGAGGATGAGGATGAGGATGCGGATGAGGATGAGGAGGAGGAGGAGGATGAGGATGAGGAGGATGAGGAGGATGAGGAGGATGAGGAGGATGAGGAGGAGGAGGAGGAGGAGGAGGAGGAGGAGGAGGAGGAGGAGGATGAGGAGGAGGAGGAGCTTCCTCCTCGTGCCGCGATTGTCCAAGAGGAGGTGGCCCCCCTGATCATCAACCACACGCAGGAGTGGCCCTGGGCAAGAGTGACCTTCAGTGCGCGGCTATCGGGTGCGGCGGGGAGGCCAAATCCTTGAGCGCAGGCCAGTGCAGGGGGGAACCCCTGAGATCCGACGTTGCGAAACATTGCAACATCGTGAAAAAAAACAGCGACTGGAGCCCTGGACCCCATCTTTCTGCGTCATGTGTCGAGCCAGATCGACCTGTGAGGATCCTGGGGCCTGCAATTATGCGAGAACGCCTGGTGTGAATCACATGCAGCGCCAGGATCTCAGGGCCCCCCCGAGCCCGCACGAGTGGTCACTCAGGAGATCTGGCGAGGGGGCCACTCCTGCGCGTAGCCGAGGCCACGGGCCACCGCGCTGCCCGATGCCTGGGAGGCGGCTCCCGGGGCCGCGCAGCCCTCTGGCCGGCGGCCTCCGCGAGCCCTGCGGGCCTGGCCCCCGGGTGCCGGGGAGGCAGCTCCTTGGCAGGGACGACGACAGGCTGCGCAGCGACGCCGACCTCGGCCAGAGCCCTGCTGGGCAGCGGCCGCGGTGCACACGCTTCGGTGGGAACTCGTGGGAGCCTCCCGCGCCCGCACCATCTTGCTGGCCCTTGCGAGTCGGCGCTGGCCGAAGCGAGTCGACTCTAGCCGACACCTATCGACGCCAAATCGACGCTGACGCAAGATCGACGCTGATCGACCCTACATCGGCGCTGTCTCATCGACCACCCGACGCTGACGCCCTCTGGCGCACTCTAGAGACGGAATTGCGAGGGCATGCGAGGCTGCCATGCTGTGCTGCCTGGCCAGGGCGGCGTGTGCGGCGATCTTGGGCCCCGGGTGGGCCTGGCCAGGATCGGCGTCGCCTCTCCTCCGGCGTCGCCACGGTCTCGTGACATGCCCCCCCCCCCCGGGGTCTCGAGGTCTCGACCCCTTCCCTGGGGCAGCCTTTTCATGCCGAGTCGTTCTTTGATGGCCCGGGGGCCCCGAGGATTCGGCCCCCATAGGCTCAGGACGAGCACAGACTGGCGTCTCGACCCTTCCGAGCCGCAAATAATCTGAGTGCTTGTCGTCGTCCGACTCCTGCTCCCAGCGGGGCTGCGGCCGCGACCGCGGCCGTGGCGCCGCAGGGTGCTCGCGGCACCATGTGGCCGCCTGTCCCCACGAAAGAAGCGGGTCCTGACGGCAACGGGTCCTGCACCACGGGGCTGTCCCCTGGGGCCCGAAAATCCTGGCGACAAGGAGTGGGGCCTCCTGCAACGCTGCAGGTAATACAGAATGGGGACTTTCCCCCCGATGTCTCAGAGGCCTCCAGAGACCTTCAAGAGGCCATACCACGAACGATCCCCACCAAGGATATGCAGTACATGAAGGTGCGCTATGGGTGTGTAATTAACACAATGACTTATGAATTTGTGTGTAGAAGGTTACCTGTCCACGGTTCAGATGTATGAAATAGATGTCTGCTCTTGCAACTGTATTTCATCAATGCTCCTGCCGTGTCACATTGATGCGCGATTTCCATATATAGAACTGGTGTATGCGCATGTCGTCGGTTACTGACGCATATACTTGGTGTATGGATGTGGTGATTGTTCTTGGTGCTTATTTGATGTGCCTGACGCTACTGTTGCATGTTATTGGTGCGCGTTCTGCACGTATACTTGTTTTTACTATATCTGTGTTTGGTCGTGATGTATGTTCGGTGAACGTATTGGTATCTGTTACGGGCGCCTTTTGCTGATGTATATCACTGGTGTGTGTGTGTGTGTTTGGTTTATTGGTGGCTGCTGTTGATGCTGCTCATAAGCGCCTGTTATCGGTCGGTGCTCCAGATGCCTGCTACCGGCGTATGATCTTGATGTCTATTATTGCTGTCGGTTGTTGATGCATTTGATCGATAAATGCCTTTGCTGTCTTCTCTTGGCGCACGCTATCGATGACGGTTCCTGCCGCGCGCTATCATACGGTACTCTTTATGGCTGTTCAAAACGTATGTGGACGGCGTGACGTCGTGACGCCTCTCTTAGAAGACGAAAACAACGGCATAAACATAAACTGTTGGCGCTCCGCGCGGATTTCCTGGATCTGCGCTGGACCCCCCTCCCCGGCGCGCGGAGCGCCGCCTGGGGGGCCCCAGCGCGGATCCAGGAAATCCGCGCGGAGCGCCAACAGTTTATGCTTGTGGCGTTTTGCTTCTTCGACCTCTGGTTGGGCCGCATGCTGGCTACGCCTGTTCGATCTGCTTGCGCATCACGTCGTCACTGCGCTCCAGGGGACCTCCCTGGCCCTGCGGCCGCAGCATGCAGGGCGGTCGAGGCTCCACACCCGGGGACCACCAAGACTCCCGGGGCCCAGCGGCCGCGGTGTGCCGGGCGGGCGAGGGGCGTCGGGATCCTGGAATCTGGCAGCTCCACCCTGCGCGGCGTGGCTCTCCCCGCTTCTCGCAGGACCCGTGGCCCTCAGGACCCCCATCCTTCGTCGGGCGTTGCCGAATAGGTGGGGGGGGGTTGTGGAGTAAACCACGGGCGGCGAAGAAAGGTGCACATCTCTCGCGCCCCTTCGAGGCCACGAGGCCACCAAGGGCCCCCTCGAAGGCCACTTCAGGGCCGCTCTCCTGCAGCCCGCGCCACTCGAGGCACGAATGAACCACATGAGCATAATCTTTTCTCGCCATCGCTCGGACGTCCATTCCCTGTGTTTTTTTCCAAATTCGTGCGTGGTTTCTCGCCGAGTGATCAAGGATGCTCCTCGATGGTCCTCGCCGAAGGAAAAATGCACACGTCCGAACGATGCCGAATTTTGGAGGTCCGCACGGATTCCCCGGATCCGCGCTGGACCCCCTTCCCTGGCGCGTGGAGCGCGCGGCGCCGGAGGCGCCGCCCAGGGGGCCCAGCGCGAATCCAAGAAGCCCGCGCGGAACGCCAACAGTTCATGTGTGTGGCGTTTTTTTCTGCTTCGAGTATCGTCCCCCCTCGGGGATGGACAGAACCCCCGTTAGCAAAACGTGATTTAGTGAAAACGACCTCGGACCCAAACCTGGCGTGCGCCAGCCTGGAAAATGACGGCCGCGGCGCCCTCTCGAGAACAGAAAACGGACAATTCACTAATCGACGTGTCATGGTGGGGGTTCTGTCCACCCCCGAGTTTGTAAGCGTTTTTTCTTCGGCGTTTCGACATTGGTCGGAAATTGGGGGAGGGGGAGAGCATGTTACGCATGGAATGAATTCAATGGAAATCAATCCAGAGGATCCGTGAGTGGATCAATCTAGACTGATGTGGCTATGATGCCTCTTTTGATTTTGCTGCCCGCTTGTGCCCACCCCGTCCAGTCTTCAGGGACTTCGCATCCCCCTATGAAGGTAAGATGGGAAGACGGGCCGCCGCCCCTGGCACTGCACGTACGGTGCCAGGTTTGTGGGGATTTGGTTCGACCCCCGCAGTTCCAATGATGGAAATTGCGAGGGGTGTGAGGCCTGATGGTGGTCCTCACTGGTAAGGCCTATGATGGTCCTCACCTGGGGGGGGAGAAGGCAAGGGCGGACGTCCACCAACAACGTCCGCCGTGCTCGTCCTCCGTGAAATGCACCGTGGCCACACTCATGAATCAGAAGACCGTGACATTCACGAGCACGACCCGACTTATGATTGCGGACTCCGTGTAACGCACCGTGACCACGCTCATGACCACGAAAACCGTGGCACACACGAGCACGACCCGACCTATGATTGCGGACTCCGTGAAATGCCCTGTGACCACACTCATGAACAAGAAGACCGTGATATTCACGAGCACGACCCGACCTACGATTGCGGACTCCCTGAAACGCACCGTCAACACACCCATGATCACGGAAACCGTGAAAGTCACGAGCACGACCCGATCGAGGCCGAGGTGATGCCCGCACTGCCTGTATCGCGGCACCGATGGGGTGGAGACCCGGAGGAGGAGGAAAAGGAGGAGGAGGACGACGACGAGAAAGTTGAGTTCAATGAACAAATTGAGCGCGAAGGCCTATGATGGTCCTTCTTCCCAAAACGAGCCTTGCTGATGGCCCCGAATCGGCTGCGAGGTGCCTATGATGGCCCCTCTGGTTGCCCATGATGGCGGCACTAGACGACCGGCAGGGGACTGGGTCCCGTTCGCGGTCCATTAGGGGAGAGCATGCTACGCATGGAATGGATTCAATGGAAATCAATTGCAGAGGATACGTGAGTGGATCGATCTAGACTGATGAGGCTATGATGCCTCTTTTGATTTTGCTGCCCGCTCGTGCCCACCCCGTCCCGTTTTCAGGGACTTCGCATCCCCCTATGATAGTAAGATTGGCAGACGGGCCGCCGCCCCTGGCACTGCACGTACGGTGCCAAGTTTGTGGGGATTTGGCTCCGGACCTCTGCTTAGTGCGGCAGTTCGGAACCGTGCGTCCTCTGGGGGCGACTCCACCTGCTCGCTACAGGCGCCAGAACCAGCCAAGGTCTATTCCACGGGGGGGGGGGGTGCGAGGGCCCGCGCCGATCGGTCAAAGAATGACTACAAAAACGCTTACTTTTTCTCCTTTGAATATGCCCCCCCCCCACCCCCCCCATTTTGAGCAGGGACCGACCGTCCCAGCATTCCTATAGTCCTACCACGAAGTGTTCTTAGAACCTAAGAATGTTCTCATAACAAAAACCATGTTCTTAGAACATTCGCCCGATGTGTTAAAACAACACAGTTTCAACCAGAAATGTTCTAAGAACATCTCGTGCAAACCACAAAGAGCTCTTAGAGCATTCTTTGGTAGGCCCATAGGCGAACCAGGACACTTCGCCGCTGCTTTGGGGCAGTGCAAAGGGGGGTCACCACTGGGGGGGTCGCCGCTTCCTCGAGGAAACGCCACTTCCTCGAGACTTCCTCGAGGAACTGGGCCCCCCAGAGCCCCGAAAACGCCAAGAAACGTCCAAGAACATCCTCGACCCCTCGACTCTCCATCCTGGAACCTCGATTTCCAGGAGAAGCTGGCGACCCCCCCAGTGGTGACCCCCCTTGACACTTCGCCACTGCTTGACCATGACGACACGCCCAACTTCACCGCGGCCGCCTCCTGCCGGTGCGGGCAGGCCCACGCCGGCCGGCGCCCGTCGAGCGCGGCCGCCGCCGCCGCGCCGCGCGCGGCGCCCGCCGCCATGCCGCGCGCCTCCTGGGGCGTCCGACGTCGCAAGAGCGCTGCGTGTGGGCGTGCGTCGTTTTCCAGAGGGCAAGACGTCCCCCCCATGATACTCCAGATTTCGTAATAAAAGAGAGGAGACAAGCCATTTCAGACCCCCCCTGTGGGAGAACCCTCCAAAACATCGTCCCCAGACCCCCCCAGGCCCTCCAAGATAGCCTGGAAGAGACCCCCCCGAAATGAGACCCCCCTCCCTTTATTACGAAATCTGGAGTAACCACCCCGACGAGCGAAGCCGGTCAGGAAACGCACCCAGAGAAGGAATCGAGCAGGGCAGGGCTGCTTCGTAGACGCCCAAGGTCGTGTCGTAAACGCCAATTATCGGGTCTGGGTGGTTTCTCTTTCCTTGAGTTTTCGTTCACAGCTGAGTGGGGAGGGTCCAATGCTCGAGTCGGGCATGTCCCTCTACAGGAGCAATCTTCAAGAGTAGTCAAACAATAATACGGGGACGATTTTTCGATTATGTTTGACTATTTTTGGGCATCTTCGGACTATTTTTCACTTGTAGTCCAAAATCCACCTGTAGGAGGACATGCCCGACCTAACACAATGCGGTGACGGCATTGGATCGGGAATCGCTGGAGAAAGGGCCCAGGGTCTGGAAGCTGGTGAATTTCCATCGTGACGAGGCCATATGGATATCGCCGTTGCCCTCATTGGATTAGGAATCCTCCAACTCCTGGAGTCTCTTGTAGAGGCCTCCTAGATGGTGTCAGAGTAGATGGGGTCGAAGGATCGCGCCGCATCGCCAATACATCGGCGATGCATCGGCGATGCACCAGCGATGCATCGTCGACGTCGGCGACGTCGACGTGAAGCAAATCGGGCTCCGCATCGAGCTGCATCGCCGATGCATCGGCGATGCGGCGCAATCCTCCGACCCCATCTGCTCCGACCCCGTCTGGGAGGCCTGGATCTAGGGTTCCCTTCGAGTTACCTGCGCCGACCACTGTTGCCAGGCGCATTGCAGACCTACTTCGCCGACCTACTTCAGGAGCTACTCTAAACCTACTTCAATTGTTTTTCGCCTCAAACAAGCCCTGCATTGAAAGGGATGTCTCGGGCCTAGATCTTGGCCACAGCTCTCGATGATACCCCCGCCGCAGCCGGGCTGCCACGAAGGAGTGCCGCATGAGGAGCGAGGGCGTTCCTCGCGCCGCAGCGAGCCTCGGCCACGAGTGGGTGCCCCGACCCGGGCCCAAGGAACGCCCTGAAAACCAGAGCTCCCCCCAAGCCTCACTGCAGCGACCTTGCAGACGTGCTGCAGCGGCTTTTCGGCGTGGATGTCTGCCAATGCAAAACCCCGAAACGGCGAGCGAAAAACGATGTAAATTTCGCGTGGGTTCTTTTTGGTCTTCATTCCTGGCCCCAAAAAATCCGTGCGAAATTCACGTTGAAATCCGGAACGAAATTCTGCAGGACACCCCCAGCCCACCCTATCGTTTTCCGGACGGAATCCGCTCTGCGATGCTGGCGCCATGCAACGTCCTGAAAACCAGAGTTCACCCCAAGCCCAAAGTGGCCCTGACTTCAGAGCCTTGTCTGCGGGGGCGGACTGGCCCAGGGAGGGCGGCGTGGACTCGGAATGGGCGATGCATCGCCGATGGATCGGCGATCCGCCTCGATCGTGGAACCGCGCGTCCCTCGGCGGTCGGGGACTTACTGACGGGGGGCAATCCAAGCCCGGGTCACTCGGGCTCTGCAGGATCCTGCAGGTTCCTGCAGGTGCCTGCGCGCAAGCCCAGGTCAGCGCACCCCTGGCTTTGCCTGCAAGATCCGGCGCTCTGGCGAGCCCCTGCTCGCATCGATCCCCGTTCCCTTGAGCTCCAGAGGCGGGGCGGGGATGGGGGGGCCCGGGCCCAGATCCGCGACGGATGGGCGATCGAAGGCCGATGCCTCTCTCCCCTGGGCCTGATCCAGCCCCCTCGCTGCCCCAGAACAGCGCGGCTGCCCCGATCGGGTGTGCCAAAGGGTGTGGGGGCCAGGGAGAGAAGGGGCGCAGCGGGGCCCAGGGCGCGTGCGCGGACGGGAGGTGGCCAGGGCACGCCTCGTCGTCGTCGTCGTCGTCGTCGTCGTCGTCGTTGTCGTCGTCGTCGTCGTCGTCGTCGTCGTCGTCGTGCGCGGTCGGGAAGTGCGCGGACGGGAGGAGGAGGGGGGGGCATCCACGTGAGCGGAAGGCCGACTCGGGTGAGTTGGCCCGAAGGCGCCTCACCACCCACGGCTTAAGCCAAAGCCAAAACTGAAGTGCACAGAAAAAAGGGGCACGGCAAACGGCCCACGATGCAGGTTTGGTAGACAGCACATCGAGGAGCGGTGCTGCAGCCTCCTCTGAGCACAGGCTCCCCCCCAGAGCATCAGCAAAACAAGTCGGACTCAGGCCATGATAGTTGGGAGATTTTCTGGCCCCGTTCATGATATTTATCCCGTGGCTTTCACCACCCTTCCTCGACGCCCCCGGCGTGAAGTCTTGACCCCTTCGCCAATACTGGTTTTCATGGGCGCCTCCAAAACAACGTCCTAGGCAAGAGTGACCTTTGGTGTGCGGCTGTCAGGAGCCGCAACAAGAGGCCAAATCCAGGCAACCAGGCACCACTAGAACGCTCTCGGAGAGGCGCACTTGAAGGAACGTTCCCGAGGCAGGAAAACCTTAGGGAACAGACGAACATGTCTGCATAACTTCTGTATTTTTTTGTTTGCTTGTTTGTTTGTTTGCTGGTGTGTGTGTGTGTGGAAATTCGCGATCATGTCTGGGCCTGGGGGTCGAACGTCCATTCCTGGACACATCCTGGGATGCGCTTGGACCACTCTTTCAAGCCCGATCCAGCCGTGGCGACTGGGAGGTTCAGAAAAGGCCATCAACTTCCAAACAGCTCGATCCTCGATTCTCCTTCTTCCTCCAAAGGATGATCGGATACACGCAAAATGACCACAGACATGAGCGACCTTTGGTGCGCGGCTTTGGGGGGGGCCGCAGGGGCGGGGAGGGGGGCAAACCCAACCTAGCAAGCCGCTGCTATCGCATCGCATTCGGCGGTCGGAGGAACCCGTTCTCGGCTACAGGCTACACGAAAGAGTGACCCTGGGCAAGAATGACCTCTGGTGCGCGGCTTCCAGGTTCCGCGAAAGGGCCAAATACAAGCGTGCCTGCCAGTGCTGGGGGTACTCCTGTGAGCCCGCACCAGAGTCGGGGGCACGCAAACATGGATTAGCGATCCATGGATTTGGCGCGCGGTCGCCAAATCAATGAATCGGGGGAGGTGCCCTGCCCAAAGTGCGGCCGGTGCCGCCTCGCTCGGCGGCGGAAATCAGCAATCGCCCATGAGAACGGGACCCGTCGCTGATCCACGCCCCCATGATCCATGTTTGCGATCGCCTGACAGAGGCCATCCCGGCAAAGCGCCACTCCTGCGTGCAGTGGACGGCGGACCCGCACCAAGAGCTCCTCCCAACGAAGGGGGGCACTGCTTCGTGCACGGTAGGGGCATTGGATAAGGAACCCTCAGATAAGGAGTCCAGGGTCTGCGCCCTCGCGAGGCCACCTTGCAGAAAGGCAGCTCTCTGGCCACAGGGCGGCGACGCGTGACGCGCGGCTGTCTTCGCGCACGTGGGGCCGACCTCCAGCGCTTCAGGGGCAGGGGAGGGCGCGCCCCTGAGAGCCATGAGGGTCTCCACACTCGGGGCGCTGACCCACAGAACGATACAGCAGGAACGAGGCCTTCAGGGTCTGGCGCCTCCTGGGACTCTTCCTTTGCACAGAGCGTCGGCATAAAAGGCCTTCATGCTTGGGCGAGGTCCCCCCCGCGTTGACGTCGGCCTCCTCCTCCTCCTCCTCCTCCTCCTCCTCAGCCGATCCTCCCTCCTCCACAGAGCATCGGCGGCACGCTGGGGCAGGGAAGCGAGAGGGGGGGCAGGCCCTCGCAGCAGGCAGGCGGGGCTCCGCAGACGCCCTCCTCCCGCCTCCTTCGGGGTGGGCCCACAAGGGGGGTGCAGCTGAGAGGGGGTGGTGCCACAGATTCGGGGCAATGGCTTTGCAACTGTACTGCGCCGGAGAATTGTATTGCCTTGTAGTGCAAATCCTGTGCTGCACGCGGAGATCCAGCCATACAACTGCGCCCCGGAATGACTTGCACGCCCCAAAATGTATTGCAACCTCACTCATCTATTGCACCAAATCTATTGCACCACCCCCTTGTCGCTGGACCCCCTTTTGGATCAACCCGATCTGTGGCTTCGGAGGAGGCCTAGAAAGCCTTTCAGAAGGCTGGAGGCCTTCCGGGCCTTCCTGGACAGGCCCGCCCCCTCTCGCTTCCCCCCTGGTCGAGCCGCCGAGAGGAGGACGAGGGAGAACGCTTCGAGGGGACCCGCCCTGGAGGGAGAGCGCCGACCTGGAATCGGCGATGCATCGCCGATAGATCGGCGATGGGCCCCCGAGAGGGCATCCGCGCGCTCCTGGGCGGGGAAGGGCCCTCGGGCCCCTATCGTGGGGATCCCTCGGCGACCCCGGGTCGATGCACCCCCCCCCCCTGCGCCCATCCCCGTCCCCGCTGGTCTTCGGGTCATAGCTCGGGCCTCTGGCGCCCGTTCGGGACGATCCGGGCCCCCCCCTCGATGCTCTCGCCGAGGCGCAGCCGCTGCAAATCCCGCGGCTGGAGACCGACGAAGACTCGTGAAAACGCTCGGACACCAGAGTGCAGCCGTGGCGGTACCTCCAGGGGCCTCCCACATGGGGTCCGAATCGATGGGGTCCGGGATCGCTCCGCGTCGGCGACGCCGGTGATGCACCAGCAAAGTCGGCGTGGAGAAGATCGGTGTCCACACCGAGCCGCATCGCCGATGCAGCGGCGATGCGGCGCGATCCTCCGACCCCATCTATTCTGACCCCATCTGGGAGGGAACCGTAAATGAGCAATAGCCTCGATGAGCGGGGACCGACCATCCTGGCATTCCTATCGGCCTGCTACGACATGCGATGAGGACAACCGATCGCTCTGATAACAAAGCCAGTGGTCGTAGAGCATAAAGCCGATGCATAAAACAAGACGGTCTCAGCCAGAAAGGTTCTAAGAACGCTACGTGCAAGCCGCAGAAAATTGTCAGAACATTCTTTGGTGGTCGTCTAGCAAATAATCAAACCAGCACGCTTCGCCACTACTATGCGGGGACAACGAACGACCATAATCATACCGATGCCACACCCTGTGGGATGTCCTGCGCATGCTAACAACCGTCATAATACCGAAGCCAACTGAAGGTTCGTTGTGGTTGATGTGGCGTCCCAAGAGAAACATATCGGCAATAACAACAAACAACGTACTCATGCCGTCAAGGTTGGTGGGTTTCTACTCGAAGGGCCGTCCCGCAAAACCCACCTCATATTTTTAATTGAAGGTTTGCCAGAGCGAAGAGTGCTGGCGAACAAGGCGCTCAATGGGGGTGCAGAGCAGCGCCTGGCCAGCAGAGGTCCGAGCCCAAGGGCAAGCACGAGAGCCCCGCACGAGGCGCACAAAGACCTGCGCACAAGACTCGCGCGAACACTCTCTCCATTTCAAAGCAACACTTGTGGCAGTGGTAGTTCTTGAAGGGAACGAAGAGTGGCATGCACATGACAACTCGGAGGTCCGCGCGGATCTCTCGGATCGGCGCTGGACCCGCGGAGCGCGCAAGGGGCGGCGCCGGAGGCGCCGCCAGGGGGTACCTCCGAGTTCTTATGTCTATGCCATTCTTCGTTCCCCTACGACAGTACCGCGACCACAAGTGTTGTTTCGAGTGGCCAGGGTGCTCGCGCGAGTCTTGCGGGCAAGCCTTGTGCGCCTCGTGCGGGGCTCTCGTGCTTGCCCTTGGGCTGACATTTGTGGTTGTGGAACTTTCTAAACTTTGGAGTTCCGAAACGGTGCGGTGACAGACCGTGCGGTGACCCCGAAATCCCCCAAGACCTCACCGCACGGTCCGTCGACGCACGGTTTTTGTGACCTCGGCTGCCCCTGTCGCCCGAGGCATCCTCTGGAGAGGGGCTCGAGTCCTAAAACCGTGCGGTGATCCCAAATCCCCACCGACTCACCACACCACCCCATTTGGGGGTCCTCGATAAAGGAGAAGGCGAAAACCCAGCCCCACCCCCAGTCCCGACCCCACCCCGAACCCGCGATCCAGGGGGTCGGGACTGGGGGTGGGGGTGGTTTTCCGGGGTCCAGGAATGGAGAACACCCACCCGGACCCCCAGTCCCGACCCCTTGAATCGCAGGCTCGGGGATGGGCGTCGGGACTGGGGGTGGGGGTGGGCTTTCGCCTTCTGAATAAACAAACCCCGCGGACTCCTCCCACGCCGGCACGGGGGCGAAGCGGCGGGCCTCGGCCGCGCCGCCGGCGGGCCAGCGGCCGTGCGGGCCGGGGCCCGCCGGCGACGCGCGGGCCACGGCGCCGGGGCCGCGGCCTTTGCTGCAGGGCGACTCCACCTCGCGGGTGCTTCCGGGAACTTGTCGTCGTCGTCGTCGTCGTCGTCGTCGTCGTCGTCGTCGTCGTGGTCGTCGTCGTGGTCGTCGTCGTGGTCGTCGTCGTGGTCGTGGTCGTGGTCGTGGTCGTGGTCGTCGTCGTCGTCGTCGTCGTTAGCGTCGTCGTCGTCGTCGACGTGATCGTGGTCGTGGTCGTCGTCGTTGGCGTCGACGTGATCGTGATCGTGGCCGTGGTCGTCGTCGTCGTCGTCGTCGTTGTCGGCGGCCCTCAGGGAGGGCGCGCGCACTCCGCCGGCCCGCCCTGGGCCTCCGCTGCACAACGGGCGTCCGCTGGCCGCCATTTTGCCTCAACTGGAACACGCCTTCGCACAGGAGACTTCTGGACGCCTCCGGGCGCCGTGCGGGACCTCTATGGAAGCTTTCCGCCTTCCTGGGAACTCTGTCACCTCGTGGGGCCCCCTTAAGCTCATTTGGCCCGTCGCTGGGGCCATTTGGAGCTGTTTCGGGCGAGTCATGTTGATCTAATGTTTAAACAACTCCCAGAAGCAAAAAGATGTTGATGTATTTCGCCGTTTCGGGTTTCTTGTTGTTCCTGTTGGGGCTCTCGTGGGGCCTCCGGTGGCACTCCTGGGTTGGTCCGGCCACGTTGGAATAACTCCAAAAGGGTTCTCGAGCCGTCCTGAAGGCCTGTCGGTCCCATGTTGGGCTGTCCAGCCGCCCTTTGGATCCCCTTAAGCCTTGGGCCGTTTTGGGCGCGCCCACGAGGCCCCCGGAGGGTTTTTTTGAAACACCAGCAATAATTTGCGTAGATCCCATTCACCTCTCCTCTTCGGTTTCGTCCGCCATTTTCGGCACCTTTGGGTGCCCACTGGGGCTGTTTTCGGAGCCTCTTTGGATCCTCTTCGGCAGTTCTTGGTGTTTGGGGAGCTTGCGGGGGCCGTCTTGGGCCCCCCTCGCCCTCGTCAAGCCGCCCAACGTGTCCACGTGTCCAACAACGCGGGGCGAAAGTGTCGGCCCCCTCGGGGCGTTCACCTTGATGAAACAATTATTCCGACGGTCGGACCCCGCATGGTAATATTCTCAAATCGTCTGGGGATGATCCTCATCGTCGTTCTTGCGATTGCGGGGGCTTTCTTCCTTCCACCTTTGCGCCATTCTCCGCATCCCCTTGGCGCGGGGCCTCCGACCCAACCGCTACTTCGCCTCCCCATCGCCCTCCTGCCTTCCCCCCCTCCCCCCTCCGCCGCATCCCCCATTCCTGTTGCAAGGGCGCGCGCGTCGATGTTCGTTGGCGCCGCCGCCGCTTCGGTCTGCGGGGGCGCGTTTGCCGATGGCCAGACCGCGAAGCCGTTGGGAGAACCTCGCGAGCCATGCCGTTGGGGCAGGCCGCGGGATCTGCATGTCCCGTGCGCGCGTGGCGCGGGAGAACATGACGTAGAGGTGCAGCCGCCACTGCTCGAACGACATGCCCGTGCAGCCGGCGTCCCCGTCCCTGGCGCAGTCGACGGTGACGCCCCCGCGCAGCCCCTGACCCTGCGACAGTGTGGAGGTGAGGTAGGACGTGCGCGCCAGGGTGAAGCCTGAGCGGCGCGCGGCCCCGAACTCTGCCACGTGAGCTCGTGCTCGGTGGGCCTGAACATGAGCAAGTTCCGAACCCGCGCCTCGGCCTGGCCGTCGTCGTCAGCGTCTTCGGCGCCCAGTAGCAGCAACTCGGCGACCTCCTGGTAGATCGGGGAATCTTTAAAGCTGTGTACCTGCAGCCAGATACCCTGTGGTGAGAAGCGGGGGCGGAAGAGCTGGCCTGGCCCGCGCTCGTCCTCGGGGTGGTTCTCGAAAGACACGATGGTGACCCGTTCCTCCTGCACGAGCTCTAATTTCTACTTCAGCTCCTGCTGCGCGGCCGTGAACCGAACCTCCATGGCGACGCGTGCGGGTAAGACGCCGTGGGTGTCCCCCGTCTTGTGCATGTTCGCGATGTTCAAGACGCGCCGGCCCATGTTGGGATCGCCGTGGATCGTATTGCGCTCGTCCACGGCTTGCAGGAAAACCAGGGACACGCCTAGACGCCTTGCGTCGCGTCGAGCGCGCGTGTTGATTCACATCGTCGACATCTGAGCTAAGCCCAGCCGAGTGGGCTGTAGCCCAGCCGAGTGGGCCAATAGGGAAGGGGGCCAATACGGGGGTTGGTTCCCGGTCGAGACGTCCTCACAATTCACTCACACACGAGACTCCCTCCCGCCCGAGACTTCCTCCATATCCACGCATCAGGAACCCCAGAGTGATGACAGCCGCAAAGGTTGAAGACCCGCCAGATCTACTAACGCGATCTGGCGGCCCCATGGGGAGGAAAGTACCGCTCGAGACATCCCCACAATTCAATAACAAGCGGGGCTCCCGCTTGAAACTTCCTCCATAACCCCGTCTCAGGAGCCCAATCGTGACGATACATACAAGTTTTCGATAACCCGCTCAAATTTCTAACATGATCTGGCGGCCACATGGGGAGGAGGCTTCCGTCTGAGAGTTCCTCACAAGCCACTCACAAACGAGGCTCCCGCTCCCACGCCTCAGGACCCCAAGAAAGATAACACGTTACGAGGGTTGGATGACAAGATCTGCCGGCCCCACACGGAAGGGGCTCCCGCCCGAGACTTCTTCACCATTCACGTACAAACAGGCACCCGCTTCAGAATTCCTCCAGATTCACACCGCAGGAAACTCAAAGTGATGACGATTAGAATTTGTAAAATTTGAGGACCCGCTACGGTTGCTAATGTGATCCAGCGGCCCCATAGGGAGGAGGCTCCCGCTCTAGACGTCCCCACAATTCAATAACAAGCGGGGCTCCCGCTCCAGACTTTCTCCATATTTCCGCCTCAGGAGTGCAAGCGTGACGATGGTTGCTTGCAGTGTTTGGATGGTCCGCACAGATTTCTAACAGGATCTGGCGGCCAGATCGAGAGGGGGCTCCCGCCTGAGACTTCCTCACAATTCATTCACAGGCGAGGCTCCCGCTCGAGACATCTTCAAAATGAACGTGTGTGTGTGTGTGTGGCAGCGAGTGCTATTAGATGGGTAAGTACGTTTGAAACGGTGATGACGATGAGGATGCTGCTGCTGCTGACGATGATGATGATGATGGTGGTAGTGGTGGTGGTGGTGTGAGCGTGTATGAGTGGTGATGGTGATGGTGATTGTGATGGTGGTAGTGGTGATGATGATGAAGATCATGATGGTGATGCTGACGATGATGACCATGATGATGATGATAATGATCATGATGATGCTGATGATGACGATGCTGCTGCTGATGATGATGATGATGATCATGATGATGATGATGATGATGATGATGAGGATGATGCTGATGACCATGCTGCTGATGATGATGCTGATGCTGATGCTGATGCTGATGCTGATGATGCTGCTGCTGCTGTTGCTGCTGCTGCTGATGATGATGATGATGATGATGATGATGATGATGGTTATGCTGATTGTGATGGTGTTGTGCGGTGATGAGGAGCAAAGGGGGTGTGGGGGGAGGTCTGCGTGGGGCGGCCGGAGAAAACGATAAACCCACTCAGGATGTGGGGTATACGCCCGCATCCTCGAAACTCCGCCCTCGACCCTCGGTCCTCGTGCACGCTGGGGCCTCCGAGCCCGCGCTGGGGGCCATGCCCGGCCCATGCCCGGAGGCCCCGGGAGGGGCGGCGGCCGGCGCTGCCCCGCGGCCATGCGAGGCCCGAGGCTGCGGTGCGGGCGTCCGCTGGGAGGCGCGCGCGCGCGCCCCAGGTGCGGGGCGCGGGGGCGGATGGGAAAGGCCGAAGAGGACAGGGGGAGGGGGGAGGAAGAGGGGGGCGGGGAGAGGAGGTGGAATAATGGGGAGGGGGAGGAGGAGGAGGAGGAGGAGGAGGAGGAGGAGGAGGAGGAGGAGAGGGAGGAGGCAGGAGGAGGAGGAGGAGGAGGAGGAGGAGGAGGAGGAGGAGGAGGAGGAGGGAGGAGGAGGAGGAGGAGGAGGAGGAGGAGGAGGAGGAGGAGGAGGAGGAGGAGGAGGAAGAGGAGGAAGAGGGGGAGGGGGAGGAAGGAGGAGGAGGAGGAGGAGGAGGAGGAGGAGGAGGAGGAGGAGGAGGAGGAGGAGGAGGAGGACGAGGAGGAGGAGGAGGAGGAGGAGAGGAGGAGGAGGGGAGGAGGAGGAGTAGGAGGAGGAGGAGGAGCGAGGAGCGAGGAGCGAGGGAGGAGGAGGGCGTCGAGAGTGTCGAGACTACATGGGGCAGGGCCCCCTCTCCGAAGAGCTCAGCTACGCCTGCAAGCGGCAGCCCCCGTCAAGGGCAAATTCCTCGCCCCTCGGAGCCAAGGGCTCCCCAAAAAACATCGCATCCGAGGGGGATCTGAAACCGTGCGCCTGGGCGATTGCCCAGTCCTGGGTTTCAGAGACCCCGGTGCCATACTTAACAGCGGGGACCGACTGATGAACGCCCTGACTTGCCTCCTCCTCCCGCGCGCCTGCCATGAGGGGCGGGCAGCGAGGCGCCCAGCTCTCGACCGTGTCGGCTGACGGACCTCGCGCGTCCACAAGGTGCGCAGGGAGACGGAGAGCGATCTCTCGGCGCAGGCGGGGGCGCTGAGAGCGTAACCCTTCGTGTTACTCCCCAGGCGCACCCCGTCCAACCCCTCCCCCGACCGAGCGTTCTCATGCGCCGAGGCCCCGCGGGACTTGCAAAACAGCAAAGCAGACTCTGGCTTCGCCTCTGGGTCAACATGGACCAGGGGGGCCCGCGCAACCGAGTGCCAGTTGAACGCCCAGGGAATCCCTGGAAAGGCCTGAAGGTCCTCAGAGGTGTCAGCACCTGCAAGGTGGGGGGCGGAAGCGGCACAAGGGGGGGAGGACTGGGGCTGGAGGCGATCCCCCCCTGAGGGACCACCCCGCGCGCGCCCTCGAAGGGCTCGGCGCCCCCCTTCCTCGCCGCCCTCTCGAGCCTGTCCCAGTCCCCCGAATTAATCTCGAAGCGCAGATCCGAGTTTCAACCGCGCCTTCAGAGTCAACAGAACCACCGTCCAAAACAAGCTTTTGGGCCCTCGCATGCCACCTCGAGGTGTCATGGGCCACGACCTCACCCCCCCGCGCGAAGGCGAGCTGCTGTGTGTGGGGGGGGGCGACCACTTTAAAGCACCTTTTTTGGCCCAGCTGTCTGCAATCTGATGCCGAAGATGAGCCAATCGTCCTCGAAGTTGACGGCAGAAGCTCTGCCACGGTGACTCTTGATCTTGAGAGCCGAAGCTTCTTGGCCAATCCCCTCCCGCCTGCGAAACCAAACAACGGCCTCTGCAGTTCATGGGGTCGAAAGACGCGCCGGGATTCACCGCGCACTCGATCGAGCCAGCGCAGTCGGAGTAGATTGGAGGCGGACCCGCAGGGTTCCACCCCGAGAACTCTGCAAGGACCTGGAACGCTCGATCCTCTCCATGACGCGCCGTCTGATTGGGCGCGTACAGTCTAAACGTACAGTAAGGACGCGAGGTAAGGACGCAAGACCCTTGGAGGCCGAAGTTGGATTTTTGGGGCGGGGGGCGGCCAGTGAAAACGGCGAAGGACGGGCCGCAGAGGCAAGGACTCAAGGGTACCCTCAGAGGAAGGCGCGCGTCCTTACTAGGCGCGTTGACTGTAGCTGAGGGGGGGCACTCCGAAAGCCCCAGCAATGAGTTGACCATCCTGGTCAATCTGGATGATGGGCCAGCCAGCCCTCGAGAGCCCCAAGAAGCGAGAGTAAAACGCACTCCCATTAACAACAACTTCGCCACATACTTTCCAACCTGCAGGGGAGACTGTCCGGATTAGCTGATCTTGCAACCTCGCCTCCTGGAATGAGGAGCACCTAGCGGGAGACGGGAAAGTACACCGACTGAACAGCTCTCTCTGGACAGGACTTTTCTCGAACATGACTCGTGCAGCTTGCCTCGCATGTGGTGGGCATTCATCGCGACGATGCGCTTCGATGCAAGGGCACTCGTAGAAACGATGGAACAGAACGCCTGGCCCTCCGCGCACTAGGCACTGTCCGTGCTGTGCCATGTTGTGCCTGAAGAGTCGCTCCTGAGGCCAATGAGATCCACCACTTAAGCTCCTGATGACGGCCTTGTGGTGAGGCGTCCAGTTGTGGCTGGTCGCCTTGTCCATAAGATGGCATATGAAACCCCAGTGAAGAGCCGAGGCCCACCCGCCCTCCACCCCCCAGGGGGCCTGAACGTCTGATGCGAGCAAGGCGGCCTCCCGCGCCCTGGGAGCGATGAAGCCAGGCGTGAATTCCAGCATGGAGTTAGATGCTCATTCTGGGGACCTTCCTGTAGCCACTCGCTCCACTCGTGCGTCGAAGCTGCGTCGAACCTGAGTCGAACCTGAGTCGAACCTGAGTCGAATCTGTGTCGAACCTGAGTCGAACTTGAGTCGAACCTGAGTCGAACAGATCCACTAGGTGGGCCCAAGGAAGGTCCCCAAAACGAGCATCGAAATGGAGTACTCCACTCCCTGCAACAGAAGGGACGAAGCAGACGGCACGCCGATGCCCGTCCTGGCCCTGCAGAGCAGCACAACCCTTCCAGGGTCGACGCGCCGAGCCCATGGCCTGGCTTTGCCGAGGAGGTCCCGGCCCGCTCCCCAGCGCGCCGGCGTGGGGCCGCGCCCGGGAAGCTCTGACAACGCTGAGAACGACCAAATGTTTGGCCCCTTGCGACTGCATGCACCTTCCCGAGGGGTCCCCGAAAGAGCCCCTGGGAGAGACTCTGGGCCTGAGGCCTACAGGGGTGCCCGTGGGGAAGCGACCCTCCGCACGGAGGGCAGAACCGCGACGCCCATGCAGCATCTGATCCGGGAGACCCGTAACCGCACCTCCCCACACCGCCGTCGCCGTCGGCGAGCCACGTTGAGTACAATCATCGGCCTGACCTAAGGAACGAAAAATACGGAACGGAACTCTTTCTTTCCAAGTGAGTCTACGAAGTCCGAAGGGACGGCCGACCCGCGCGCCCAAAATCTGAAGGAACACCAGGGGGGCTCGCCGCCAAAAAGGTAGCGGAACGCATGCACACCTCAGGAACGACAGAGCCCCTTTTGAAAAGCAAGTGTTCGTTCGTCAAGCCGCTCAATGTAGTGCTGCAGTTGGTTCCTGCAGTTCTGAGTTGCTGAACTCTAGCCGAGAACCTCTTGGCCGTTGCGATACGTTTAATCTTGCCCCCTTACTCTGCGAACCGTGCCGTCGTCGACATCCGTGCCAAGGCAACGCGCTCCCGAGAGGCGTTCAAATTCACTCAAGCTCCACTTCGCATTAAGCAGCGCAGCTAACTCGCCAGAGGTGGTAAGGTAGCAGGTCTTGTCCCAGTTCACACGGAGGTGCTTTTCATGGGGCCCGCCAACTAAGGCCATCATGGCTTCGGGAAGCTGAGGAACCACCTGCTCAGCAGGGCCGAGCGCCTTGAACAACAAATCATCCACGAGGTTTTGAAATCTGACAGCTGGGAATGTCGCCTGAAGCTTCACTAAAAGAGTATGCACCAGCGACTTAGTCAGTGCCAGAGCACAACTGCACCCAGCAGCCACTGTGCCGTTCGCGCGCACTTCCAACGAAACTGCTCACTGCCAGACGGAACGCCGAGGAAGTCTATACGCCGACCAGAGGCACTTGAGCAAAACTATGGGGAAGCCTGTCTTGATGGCCTCACACTTGAGCTCCGCATGAGAGATGTATTCGTAGTACTTGGAGAGATCTAGCAACCCACCGGCCGCCGATAATCCCTTCAGCTTAGCAAATCGCTGCAGCACGTTATGAACCAGTCCCGACGGATCACACGTGTGCCCAGCATTTCCCCAAAAGGCCGCGTTCTCCAGAAATCCCTCCCGACGACGCGCGACGACCGGACGACACTTAGGCGGGGAGGAAGAGGAGAGGGCGGAGCGAGGGGGATGGGGGGAGGGGGCGAGAGGGTGGGAGGACGGGGGAGAAGAATTGGAGGAGGGAGAGGAAATGGGAGATGACCGGGTAGGGGGTGGAAGGGGGGTTGCGGAAGGGTGGAGGACAGGGGGATGAATAGGGAGGGGAGGGGGAGGCCTCCACAAGGACGAGCAGAAAGCGGGATGGGAATGGGGGGAGGCGGGGGAGGATGAGCGACAGCGGAAGCGGGAGGGTGGCATGAGGAGGGAGGAAGGGCATGATGAGGGTGACAAGGGAGGGGGATGAGGAGGAGAAGCCCGCCACCGCGACGCTTGATATGAAGTGGAAGGTTCTCAGGGCACTTTGTTTTCTGCATTGAGTTGCAGTTGGGCGCTCTTGGGTGGGTGTTGTCGGGCTGGGTCGCGTGACTTTCCAGCGGCCTCGAGAGCGTAGATAGGAATCGATAGATTCAACAGAACTCAATATTGTTTCAGGGCCCGTTTTGGAGCTCCCTTCGGGGCCTCCTCGGACGTCTTGGAAGGTGTCGGAGCCCGCCCGATAGGCCATCATCATGGGAACAGCTTGTGTGTGTGTGTGTGTACGCGTAAAACATTATCACCATTTCGGCATGAGGATCCCCAAAGACGTCACAATCGGCTCCTAATACCGCCCTCGAGGCCGCCATCATGGCTCAAGACGGCCTCAAGAGGCCGCCCAAGAGGGGCCCCAAGAGGAGGACCTCGAAGTGACATGCAGAGCCTTTCCTTCCAATATGGCCCCCGAGACAGCCAGCAAGCCCCCAAAGGCCTCCACTACCCCCGAGAGGCACTACGAAGCATTCGAAAGGTTTCCACCAGGGCGTCGAGACACCTCCCCTGTAACCCCAGGCAGCATCTGAGAGGCACCCCTGGCACCCAAAGAGAGACCCACGACTGCCCAGAGAGGGCTCGAAGACGGCCTCCGAAGGCCAAGGGGCCCCTCAGAGGCCCCCAGAGGTCCCCAAGAGGCCCCCGAGAGGCTCCATGCAGCCCCCAAGAGACCCCCAAGAGGTTCCCTGTAAGCCCCCAGAAAGGCTTCATGTTCTTCCTCCTCCTCCTCCTCCTCCTCCCTCTCCACTCTCCTCCTCCTCCTCCTCCTCCTCCTCCTCCTCCAACTTTCTTTTCCTCTCTGAAATGTTTTCCCAAGGGGGTCTACAACGGCTGGTGAAACACATGGTCCAACTGCTTGGCCAGACTTCGGCCCAACGTTTGGTTGCGCGGGCGCTTCGCGAAGACAGGGGGCGGCGGTGAATTGCCGGAGGCATCTTCGATCATTCCAGCAGCTCTTACGACCGTGGAGCAAGAGCACACACTGTTGGTGAGCCACGCGAAAGGCACACAAATCACGTCATGTGCATGCACGCGTGCGCGCGCGCGATCAAGGAGCGATGGCTCCTTGATGGCCCCAGGTCCCGAAAACGGGCCCGGGAGATGGTGAGGCTTCGGGCTGCGCACCGACGGCCCCCCACTCGACCCTGGCTGGCCTCCACAGGCCCTCGCCATCGCTCGGGCGCCCATTCCCTGTGCATTGTTCGGTTTCGTGCGTGGCTCCCTCGCCAGATGATCAGGGATGCTCCTCGATGGTCCTCGCCGAAAGAAACATGCCCACGGCCGAGCGATGCCGAGCCCACAGGCCCTCCGAGCAGCCCCGGCCAGCCTCGACGGGCCCCCCGAGCAGTCCTCCTGCGGACTCGACGCCCCCGCCCGTGGGGCGCGCTCCGCTGGAGGCGGCGCGGGGGTGGCGAGGCCGCCCGGGGGGGCTACTCGGAGGGCTCGCCAGCGCTCGGACCTCCCTTCCCTGTGCCTTGTTTCGGTTTCGTGCGTGGTTTTCTCGCCAAATGATCAAGGATGCTCCTCGATGGTCCTCGCCGAAGGAAACATGCCTGCGTCCGGGCGATGCCAAGAGGGGGCCCTCCCGAGGCCAGCCGGGACCGCTCAGGGGGCCTGCCCAGGCCCGCCGGGACTCCCTGCAGTCGGGGTGTTGACCCAAAGAACCCTGAGTTTAAGTCGGGCCTGTCCTCCTACAGGCGGATTTGGAAGAAAATTAAGAACTAGTCAAAACATGCTCCCAAGTCGTCGAAAATAGTACAAGCGTCGTTCTCAGACCATCTTTCAAACATTTGTGAAGATTCCTCCTGTAGAGGGGAGTGCCCGACTTAACCCTAAACAAGGAAGGATGCCCCTTTTCTCCATGAGTTCAACTTCGATTTCCGATCGAAGACCGAAGGAACACCCAAGGCAAGCTGTCAAACCACCAAGGAACCCTCAGCCCATCCCGAACAAAAAAGGCTCTCTCTTCAGCGCCCCGACCGTACTTTTGGACGCCCGAAATGGGTACGGAAAAATAGGTACAATGCCTAACAACATATGTTGTCCCAAACCGACAGCGGCCGCTGTTGGGCAGGCGGCCTTCTGTCTCAAATGGGCACAGGCCGCGGCGGCACGGACAGCGAATCCGGTTCAAAACGAGCAAGAACTGCCGTTGGGCATTGTACCCGTTCTGTCTGTACCCGTTTCGCTCGTGCAGAGTACTTGGGGCTCTCTGTGCGCAGCCCGAAGCTTCTCGGCTAGGCGTAAGAGTGACCCTGGGTAAGAGTGACCTTTGGTGCGCAGCTTTTGGGGGCGCGAGGAAGCCAAACCCAAGGGCGCGGGCCGCTTAAATCGCATCGCGCTCGGCGATCGGGGGGAGCCCGATGAGCCCGCACCAAAAGTCACTCCGGCGAAAGGTCACTCTTACGTGGAGTCGAGTTTCACCACCGGGAGGCCCCAACGAACCGTCGAGACGCTGGCCGCGACTTCTCCCGCGGGCTCGGGCGCGCTCCGGCGCGCCCCGTCCGTCAGGGCATGCAGTGCGGTGCGGCAGGAGGCGGGCGCGAGGCGCTGCCGAGGGGGCCGCCCCCAGTCCTGCAGGCAGCGGGCCCGCCCTGGCCTCGGGCGCCCCAGAGCCGCCCGTCGGCTGCACACGCAAGGGTGGCCCCAGGCAGGAGGAGGAGGAGGAGGAGGAGGAGGAGGAGGAGGAGGAGGAGGAGGAGGAGGAGGAGGAGGAGCAGGAGGATGAGGATGAGGATGAGGAGGAGGAGGGAGAGGATGAGGATGAGGATGAGGATGAGGATGATGATGAGGATGAGGATGATGATGATGATGATGATGAGGAGGAGGAGGAGGAGGAGGAGGAGGAGGAGGAGGAGGAGCAGGAGGAGGTGGAGGAGGAGGAGGAGGAGGAGGAGGAGGAGGAGGAGTGACCCCAGACAAGATCCCCACGACATCTTGGTCATGGTCACCGTGTTCCTTCAAGAGGCTGTGCCTCCTGTGCGGCTCCAGGGGTGGAACGGGGGGCCCAGGAGAGCGAGGACCCGGACCTGCTGCGCCGCGAGCAAGTCAGGCAGGACGGCTACCCTGCCCAAGTCTGGGCCCACCGCTCCGGCCCTTCGCTGGCGTGACCTCTGGCGCGCGGCTTTCGGCGAGGGCGCGAGGGGGTCGAACCCAAGCGCGCAGGCCGCTGCTGTCGCATCGCGTTCAGCGATCGGGGGGCCCCAGTGGGCCCGCACCAACAGGCCGCTCCAGCGAAGGGTCACGTGCAGTCGGCCCCCCTGACTCGTGAAGGCGCCCCAAGAGCGCCCAAGGCCGCCTCGGTCCTCGCTCCTGCCCCGGCCCTCGGTTGCCAGGAGGAGGTGGTGACCCAGTGGCCCTCTTGATGCTGACACCCCTTGGCACCTGGCGTGAAGTAGGCGGGTCCTGAGGGGACGGGGGCCCGCGCCCTGGGGCCTTCCCCGAGACCAACTGTTGGACCTGGGCTGCTTACACGTACAGTGGAGGTCAGTCCACAAGAAACCTTTCACATGAAACCCAACCCTGAGACCCAGGGACGTCCATCGACCTGTGGTGTGGGAACCTCACGCCTTCCACAGCGGAGCCGTCGAAACCCAGGAGGCCCAGGGCACCCTGGAGGCAAGCAGGGTGTCTTTTGTTGGCATGGGCCCACGCTGCGCTCCTGGTGCCCGTGGAGGGGCCCAGGGAGGCCCGCGGCGGCGAAAGACCCCAGGGGCCCGTTTCCAGAGCCAGACTCCGCGCGTCGCGCCCCGCAGTGGCCTTCGAGCGCGGCGCGCCCGCGCGCCGCCCCCCCGGGAGGAGTGCAGCCGCTCTGGCCCAGACCACGACGCGAGAAGCCCGGGTGTCAACGGCAACGACGACGACGACGACGACGACGACGAGGACGAGGACGACGACGACGACGACGACGACGACGACGACGACGACGACGACGGCTATGTTGACGAACACCACGACGACGACGACGACGACGAGGGTGACGACGACCTCCGCGCCCCCGCGGATGGCCGAGGCTTCCCTCAGGACCAGCCTGCTGAAGGGCGAGTGCTGCCTGCAGAGGCCTCCCCCATGGGGTCCAAGCACGTGGGGTCGGAGGATCGCGATGCGTCGCCGATGCATCACCGATGCATCGGCGACGCGTCGGCGACGAAGGGCGATGCATCGGCGACGTCGGCGTGGAAACCACATCGAGCCGCATCGCCGATGTACAAGCGACGCTGCGTGACCCTCCGACCCCATCCCCCTGGACGCTGGACATGGGCACGGGACACGTGGGTCGTCAGAGGCCCAACAACAAGTGCTGTCCAAAGCCGACAGCGGCCGCTGGTGGGCAGGCGGCCTTCTGCCTCAAACGGACAACGCCCGCGGCGGCGACGACGGCGAGTCCTGTTCAGAATGGGCAGGAGCTGCTGTCGGGCTTGGTTCAGGTCGGGCATGTCCTCCTGCAGGCGGATCTTGGAGGAAGCATGAAGGATAGCAGAACAGTGCCCAAACATAGTCAGACATGGTCAAAACATCGTCCCGTGACTGTTCTTTGAATGGTCCTCCTGTAGAGGGACGTGCCAGACTTGCGTCATTCGGCGGCGAGCGAGGGGGGGAAGTGAGAAGGAGAAGGCCTTCTCGGAAGGCGGCAGGACTTCTCAGAAGTCCTCGCGCCTTCTGAGCAGTTTTTTGTGCCCTCGGGGGAGGCTCAGAAAGCTTCTCAGAAGGCCGGGGGACTTCCGAGACTTCTCACTCCCCCCCCTCGCCCGCCGCCGAGTCCTGGTGCTCGCTCTCTCCGTGCCGACCATCCGCGCGCGAAGGGCCCTCCCCTGGCCATCGCTCGGACGTCCATTCCTTTTTTTTTTGGGGGGGGGGGGGGGGTTTTTTTTTTTTTTTTTTTTTTTTTTTTTTTTTTTTTTTTTTTTTTTTTTTTTTTTTTTTTTTTTTTTTTTTTGTTAAAAAAAAAAATAAATAAAAAAAACAAATAATTTAAAACATGATCCAGGATGCTCCTGAAGAACCCCCACCGAGAAACATGCACACGTCCGAGCGATACCGAGTCCCTGCCGCCCCAAGAGGGCAAGAGGGGGAGCAAGACTCCTTCGACCTCTCGCGTGGCGAGGCCCTGCCTGGGCCGCCGCCACCGCTCTCCCTGGGCCTCGCCGGACTGCTGCCGGCCTCCGTGCCCGCGCGCTCTCCCCGACCGTGCCGGCCGCCCACTCCGACAGGGGGCCAGGTGCGAGCCCCACCCCTGCCCCCCACGATTTCTGGGTGGGGAGGGTGGGGTTCACTTCGCTCGGGAGCTCCCGAGCGAAGTGAACCCCACCCTCCCCCCCAGAAGTCGTGGGGGGCAGGGGTAGGGTTCGCATCTGGCCCCCTTATCCGACCTCCGCTGCTGGGAGCAGGTCCCAGCGGCTGCGGCCGCTTCTGCGGCGCATGGGGCTCCACTCAAGGGAGGATGGAGGGAGGGGAACTGGGAAGAGGCTCGCCATCGCTCGGACGCCCATTCCTCGTGCATCTGTCGGTCTCGTGTGTTTTTCCCAGCAATCCTGTGGTGTCGAGTCCTCGTTTTGAAGAGAGATTCCCGCGTCCCGTCCTCTCCTTCTCCCCCTCCTTCTCCCCGTCCTTCTCCCCCTCCTCCCTCCTCCCGTCACCCCCCTCGCGTTGGCACATCCCTCACACGTTTCGTGGCCCCATAGGGAGCTCCACCGAAGGCCCCAATGGCTGCGTTCGCATGCGGTTCCACCTCCCTGTCGGCACACCCCTCACACGTTTCGTGGCCCCATAGGGAGCTCCACCGAAGGCCCCCGTTGCTGCGTTCGCATGCGGGCATGTCCTCCTACAGGCAGATTGTGGAAGAAAAATTGGGAATAGTCCAAAAAGTATTCAAACATAGCCCGAAGTAGTCAAAAGATCGTCCCTAGACTTTTTTTCCTATTTTTGAATGCTCCTCCTGTAGAGAGACACGGCCGACTTAACTCCACGGGGGAAACCACAAAGTACAGATACCGCTGCTCCCCAGACCTCTCCCAGGCCCCGTTCTGAG